GGAGAATGTGTCAATGCTTATGAAGTTGGAGCTTCTTACACATGCTCCTCGCATTGCATTCTGGGACCTATTCCTCCTGGCTAAAAAGGCGGGCCTTTTGATGCAGTGCTCCTGGTCCTGGCATCTCTGTTGTGACATTATCCTTCATCTTTCCAAGACACTTGGAAAACCCATTCTTGCTTTTGTGCATCTCACTGTGTTCTTGACTTCCTGGAGTACTTAGAAAACATATATACCCCAGCCTTCATCAGAAAAAGGAAAAATCTAGGTTGTTTTTTTTCCCTCATGTACAACTTTTCTTCCCCCTCTCTCTGTATCTTTTCCTCCATGGGTAGAGTCATTTAGGGTCTTCTCAATCTGTGGAATATGTTTCTCTACCCTCATTATCATGTTTGTTTGCTTGTTCGTTTGTTTATTTGTTTCTATGTTGTGACAGGCAAGCCTTGCTAGTCAGCCACAGTTATACAGGAATGTTGCTGAAGGCCCACTCATCACAAGTGAGGTCCATGGACCTGCATAATTGATGTCACCAAGGATCTGATTTGAAATGCAGAATTGCAGCCCTAACCCAGACCTACTGAATCAGAATCTGCATTTAAACCTGATCCCCAGGCAATGCATAGGCATGTTACAGTGTGAAATGCTTTTAGGAAACTTTGAGGAGCGTTATCATGCATCTTAGAATTTCACTCTCACCTATTGGTTTTCAGATCCACTTTTGAAAATGTTGATTTATAGTTATTTCAAAGTTTAACGATTTAACTGGGGCTCAAATACTCAGTGTTCTTAACTAGACGATGGTCCGTAAACTTTGGGTTCTAGTTCAGGCAGCCCAACTGATGTTCTGATGTAAACACTGAAGCTCTTAATTTGACTGCTTGTTCTGACAGAGGGCATCCCTGTCCCACACAAATATGGCAGCACAGGTGCCTGTGAGTAGGGTGAAATTTTCTCCTTAAAAGGGCTTTGAATTTGCTCAAACACTAGGAACAAGTGCTTGGTTAAGGTCCCAGAATTCTTGGCACATAAAGTACAAAGAGACAATTTTAGATCGAAACTTCCTTGAATAATTGTTACCACTATTGACCTTGATGACAGAGAAGAGCCTTCTAAACACTTGATTTGTCATAATACTGCTCCCTGATGGTCCTGCCAGCGTGGGCTCATGTGAAACATTTCACTACCTTGCCAAGCAGCTGAAATAGCTGACCTGTTGGGTGGAGTTCTTTAGTGTCGTCCACTTAAACAACAGAGAATGTCTGCCAAGCATGGTGATGTTAGATGTAGCAGGGTTATACACTTTTTCTCCTTTTGTAATAATTATCCAATATGTTCAGCTGTTTAAGACAGTCTTCACGTCTAACAATAAAATTCCATCATAGAACATCAGTTCTCAACTTTGACTATACATTTGAACCCCTAGGATGCTTTCAAATATACTGATTCCTGGGTTCCCTAAGAGATGCTGACTTAATTGGTCTAGATGGTAAGCCTGGGGTTTCAATGTTTATAAGATTTCTCGGGTGATTCTAACGTGCAGCCAGGTTTGAGAGCTGCTGTCATAGAGAAAGGCCCTTATCTTCTGATTTACCAGTGTTCGTGTATCCAATGAATCTAATTGCTGTGTCACAATTTCAGGTTGCTAATAATCAGAGTCACCCACTCACAAGCTGTGGGCCTTTGAGTCATTTAAATTTTATGAACCTCAGTTTCCGCTTCTCTAAAATAGGGATAATTATTATAGTAGAGGGTAGTTGTAGAGATTTAAATAAAATATATAGAGTGGTTAGCACAGTCCCTAGCATATAGTAAGCACGCTACAAAATAGGGATTATTGCAAAGAATGGTGGACACAGCCCTACTTTGTATGTTTAGAAATGGAGCTTGACCTCCTCTGAGTCTGGTGGTGGGGTTACAATACAGGCTTTGACATGGAGTTCTCTAGTGAGCTTGCGCTATTGGGCCCACAGATGGTGCCTGAAGTAAGATCAGGGAATGCTCTGAAGAAGCCCCGCATTGTTCTTAACTGTCATAAGACAAAACAGAACAGAGCAGTACCTACTTTATTCCTCAGGGGAAAAGAAACCCAGCCCAGAAATCTGTGAAGAAAACTAGGATAAAGTATCAAAGGACATCCAGGAGAAAGTAGTGCATATCATATTTGAGAATTAGATTGTTTGCCTTTTTTAAAAGGGAAAAGCATTGCTGCTATGAGCTCATAAAAGCCCATAAAACAAATTGAAGTAAATGCGTGGTGAGGAACATTTCTCATGGAAATCTAGGAGCCAGCAATCTCTTGCATTGATTTTCTATTTAATTTTAAGCAAGTAATCAGAAATTTTGAAATAAATGCCTTCTCTATTTCTTCTTTTTAAAACCTGTTTACTTGAATGTGAGCATATGATGAATATATGTGTGTATGGTGTGTATATATATGTAAACATATATATGCGTATGTATGGAGTTGTGTGTGTACCTATATACCTTTACATACATAGAGAGATATATAGATATATATCTCATACATTTAAATATAAAGCAGGATTAGGTCAATAGCTCTTAGAACCAAAGGATTTCTGCTAGGATGAACTGTAGAATCTCCAAAATGTGACAATGACATCAAAAGCATATAAATTCAAGTGAAATCACTCCCTTGGTTCTCATTCAAAATGCTAGCTCTATACTACTCTTGCAGAAGCCACACAAGGGGCTCCCAAATTTGTGTTTTTCCCTAATTTGGTCACTCTGGCTGAGCCAAAAATCTCCCATTGGTGTAGATTCTAAAATATATAGGGTTTTCCCTAAATAATTAAGCTGCTTATATAATAATTTGAATATAATTTATGTATGATGTTAAGTGAGCTTTGGCCTAATTCTAATCTCTCTTCCATTCTGTTCCCAAAGTGATCTTTAGAAACATAGATCTGGTTATGCTACTCCACTACTCAAAAACTTTTGGGAATTTCAAATCAATGTCCTTAACTTGGCATTCAAGACCTACACAAATCTGGCCCCAAACAACTCTCTGGTCTTAACTTTTCTTAAATGCCCTGTGGTGCCTGTTTCCACATTTGGTTCACCCTGTCCCTTCTAAGAATACCCTCTCCACTTCATGTCTGCTTTTACCCTCTCTTTACACCCCAGCTCAAATAATACCTCCTTCATAGGGCATCCCCAGTCTCCACCCCAACACCACTCTCATCCTAATTTTACTTCTTCCCTACCCATTTTACTTCTTCCCACTCTGTGCTTCCTAGAGCTTCATAATATTGCTACAGCATTGATTACATTTTTCTTGTGTTAGCAAATGTTTAGGGAGTAATAGGGAATAGTGTTTAATGGAAAGTAATATAAGCTTTTGAGCCAGGCTAGACCTGAGTTAAAACCCTGACTCTTAGGCAAGACACTGAATTTTTCTGAATTTCAGCTTCTTTATCTGTAAACGGAAGAAAATATTACCAAATTTGCATAACTTGGTAGGGGAGAGTATATGAGAATATGCAGTGAAGGTCTTCAATACGGGGCAGCTATTATTACCGCAGTGATTCAGATCATCTCCAGACTAGTTCATCAACAGTACCTTACAGCATCTTATCCTCAGTGTGTTCTGAATTGAATGGAAGCAGCCCAAATTGATGGCATCTGCTGCTTGGATCTCACTGAGCTATTAGTTTTTCAACATCTGTTTTGAATTTCAGAAAGAAATGTCCATTTTTAGGCAACAGTGGCATTTCAATATGTCTCAATCTTGAAATGATTATAACTTGTCCTTGATTGTATCCAAGTCAGCAATGCCATGGAGAACAGCCCAGCCCATGAGCACATCAACTTTACTTAGGCCTAAGTGAGCATACCCTTCTGTACAAAGAGCCTGAACACCAAGAAACACTGTGTCAGCTTTTAATGGCATAGCCCTCTACTCAAATATCTAAATAGTGGCAATGAGGGAGCTTGAAAAGCTCTTAATTATCCACAATACTGCAAGTCAGGGAGAGCACAGAAAGTCTAGTGTTTTTGTTGTTGTTGTTTGATGTCTGGAGTGTTGGTACGACACAGAATGCACTCAGGATGTGTTTCTAAACACAGTTATTGCCTCCTTTTTCTCGACTCCTAATTCCCTTATAAAACTCCTCCCAAAAAGGATCCACCATTTTCTCCAATAGTTTCTGAATTATTTCCTATGGAAAGCAGAATTTTTCTAAACTACCAGGTTTCATGAGTCCTCTGAGTCTGTTTCAGCACCAAGGACAGAGTCTCACAGGGCTTAATGCCCACCCATCTTATTTAACAAAATTTCAAATGTTTTTAAATTTCTGCTTAAATGTTTCCGGTATGATATACAAAGACTGATTAGCCAGTTGCAGTTATCAGTGTAGAACTGAAGCAGGAGATAAGCAAGATAAACAAGTTAATAATAATTATAACACTATTATGACAAGTGCTCTTATAGAGTTATGTACAAGTCTCCTGAGAACAAGGGGAGGGAAAGATTGACTGGTAAAGAAAGGCTTTACAAAGGAGCTGCTATTTGAGCTGGGTACTGAGAATTGAGTGAAGTTTGCAACACAGAGAAGAGACTCCATGAAAGAGTACAGAGTGTATTCAGGGATTTCTGGTTTGATGTGGCTAAAGAGTGGGGGTGAATGGAAGGTTAAGATAAGAGATAAGGAACAGGATAGGTCAGATCACGGAGTGCTTATATACCAAGGTAAGGGGGCTAGGCTTTATCCTGGGAAACTGAGAGCCATTGAAGTGTTTTGAGCAGGGACATGATCTGATTATATTTCTGTTTTAGAAAGATAGTTCATACAGCAGGAGAGAGAATATACTGAAGAAAAATAAATGAGAGGGCAGAGGGTAAATAAGGGTGACATTTCTCCATACAGTCCTGGGGATGAGGGGCTACTCAATCATAATCAGGGTTAGACAGGGAGCATTTACTTGGCCCATTTCCCATTAGCTGTGCACCAGTGTTTCACATGTGGATTATGTCTCTCCAGATTCTTCCAAGAAGATAAAGGATGTCTTGGCTGAATTTAATGAGAGTGGGAGCTTCAAACAATATGACTCACATGAGGTAAGAAAATTTCCATTTCAAGCCTTGAAGAAAAACCATATTCCAGCCTTTTCATAATTTGCCCCCCTCTTAGAAGTTTAGCTCACGTTGAAGAACTTGCTTCTCAATATATTTTCTCCTGTCTCAAGGGAGCCATTGGTACTGCCTGGAATTATGTTTCCCAAGGCCATTCACCCTCTCACTGTCCTGGAAGGCTACATCATACCTTCTTCTCTTCCCCAAATCTCTCACTCCTCCTCCCCTCCTCATTCTCAGTTAACCATAGTATTTTCTACTTTACCGAGAAAAGAGAAGCAATCGGAAGAGATTTTCCACAAGATCCTTACCCACCTATGTACCTTTGCTCCTGTAGCCAGGGGTGAACTCCCCATGCTCTTAAGTTCAACCGCTCCACTTGTGCACTCAATCCCATCCTCTTTTGGTGTATTGACAGGCATTGCATCAACACTTTTCCTTCCTTCCTTCCTTCCTTCCTTCCTTCCTTCCTATTTATCTTTCATCTATATCTATCTGTCTATCTATTGTCTATCTATTATCTGTCTATATCTCTCTCTGTCACATCAGCTGTCTTCTATGTATTAGATTTTTCTCATCAACATATAAACATGTATCCTATATTTAAAAATGTTCTCCTGACTCCACGTCTCCCTTCAGCTATCACCTCCTTTCTTCCATCCTTTATAGCAAAGCTGTGCAAAAGATTTTTCTATACTCATTGCCTCCAATTTCTCTTCTTCCCACTTTCTTGAAAGCCCTGTCCTTGGTATGTAGCCCCTATTCCTCCACTGAAACTACTAAGTCACATAGCCAAGGACCTCCATGTGGCTAAATTCAATAGCCATTTTACTCAACAGCATTGAACGTGGTTGGTCAAATCCTCCCCCATTCTCTTCGCTTGCTTTTCAGGGCACCACACTCTCCTATGTTTCCTCTTACCCTTGTACTTGACATTTCCACTTAAAAATCCAATAAGCATCTCAAACTTAACATGCACTAAACTGAGCTCCTTGATCTTCCCCTCTAAAACCTATTTTTCCAGCAATCTTCCGCATTTCAGTAAATGACAACTCCATTTTTCAAGTTATTCAACCTAAAACTATGGAGTCATCATTGACTTTTCTCTTTTTCTCACATCCCACATCCAACTCATCAGTAAACCCTGGCTTTAAACTTCTACCTTTAAAATGTATCCAAAATCTAGCCACATCTCACCACTTGCACTGCTACTACCCTAACCTGAGTCATCACCATATTTTGTCCAGATTAAACTGGGCCCCCTGTTTCTGCTCTTGATCTTTAAAATCTATTCTTTACATACATCCTGAGCATCTGATGAAAATTAAGTCAGATCATGTCACTGCTCTGCTTGACAATCTCTCACGGTTTCCCCCCACCCCCTACTCAGAATAAAGGCCAAGGTCATTACAACCTGCACCTCCCTCTACTCTGTGACCTCATCTCTTGTTACTCTCCTTCTCATTCTTTTCCAGACATATTCATCTCCTTGATGCTGTCAAACAAGCCAAGGTCACTCTTACCTCAGTACTTTTCCACTTGCTTTGCCTTTTCTTGGAATGTTCCTTCCCCAGATAGCCACATGGTTCACTCCCTCACCTCCTTCAAGTGTTTGCTCAGATCACCTTCTCAGTGAATATTGCCTTCTCTATCTAAAATTTTCACTTCCTCTTCTAGACCCTCCCTATCCCCCTGCTCTGCCTTATTTTCCTCCTTAGACCTTCTCACCATCTGTTACACTATATAACTTAAGTATTTGTCTCTCTCTCCTACTAGAATATTTTGTTCACCACTGTATCCCAAGGGCCCAGAAGAGTATCTGGCACATAGCAGGCACTCAATAAATATTTGGTGAATAAATAAATGAATGCAAGACCTGCCCAACTTTCAAATTCAATTCATCTAACATTTCTTAAACATGCAGGCACTATACTGGGCACTATAGAAGATACAAATACGAGGAGGCACAATTCCTGCCCTCTGGAACTTCCCACTGACAGGGTCAAGTTTGAGAGCCATGACCCTGGACTCACATGGGTAGGGTTAGACCCCTACCTCTGCTGCCAACTAGCTATGTAGCCTTGAATAGTATTTCACTTCTCTGAGCCTCAGTTTTTATTTTGTTTTGTTTTGTTTTTAAGATTTTATTGGGGGATATTGGGGGATATTTTATTGGAGGGGAAAAGACAAGTTGCTGTCCTTTTGTTCTTCAGTCTAGTTGTGGAGGACGTCGCTTCACTGGCCCATGTTGATATTATCATTGCGCTCTTCCAGGGTGAGGCAGTCGCTCACTGGCCACTCACGGCGGCTCAGGGCAGCTCACGAAAGCTCACACCTGCCGCCAGCCAGCTCCACTGCAGCCTATGCCGTCGCAGGCTACTCACAGCAGCGCAACTCCAGGTCGAGCTGTTGTTCACCATCTTAGCTGTAGAGGGCGCAGTATCACTGGCCCTCATGTGGGATCCGAACCGGAGCCCTGCTGCTCAGAGCTGGCATCCCAAGCTAATTCCTAACCAATGCGCCACTTGGCCGGCCCGAGCCTCAGTTTTTCATGTGTGACCTGAAGATAACAACAAAAAGACCTTGCAGTATTAAGATGAATAGATTAAATGAGATAATCTTTGCAAAATGTCTAACACTTCACAAGACACTTAAAAAATGGTACCGGGGCTGGCCGAGTGGCTCAGTTGGTTAAGAGCTCACTCAAGAGTGTGATTCCCAGCCCAAGCTGAGCTGCCGCTGAGCTGCCAACAGGTGGCAGGATGGCTCAACTAAAAAAAAAAAAAAGTACCTATTATTATTCCCCTTCTCTCCCAGTTCCCCAGGAGTTTTAAATTCAACTCTCTCTTCCCTGGTCCTGGATCCTTTTATGAGGGCTAATTGTAGAAAAGTGACAAACTTGAGGAAAGGCCAGCCACTTATTTATTCATAGTATCGTCCTTTCAGCAAGCCTTGAGTCAAGTCCTTTTCTGCTGGGCACTGGGAATGAATCAACAGAGCCCCATGGCCTTGAGGCACATTTGGGAGGGGCTTATCTTAAAATGCATCAATCATCAGGAGAAGGAAGTTGGAGGAAAGTTGCCAGAAAAGAAGCAAGACTGAGAATACACCATTTCAAAGAACATTCCTGAGGAGAAGCCATGTGGAGAAGATGGCAGAGCCAACAAAGAAATCACCGTCCTCCCCAACCCCTACCCCAGCTCCAGAAACACAGGAACAAAGGCTGGCGGAGGCTGCTAATCAGCCTGTCAGCCTTGAGCCTGACAAGTGGGAGGGGAACAATTTGGTCAGGCCACCCAGGGTGTGAAAGCCACAGGAACTTTTCAGAAGCAGGGAGCAGCTTGCCTGTTATGAGCACGCAGCCGCCCCCATTATCATCAGGCTGGCCCCCACTCTTTTTATGCCTAGCACTGCTGTGTCGCAGGGCAGCTCTGTCGCTCTGATTTCATTCTCTCTCACAGTGTGGCTTGCTTCTAGTAGGTGTAACATCCCTTCATGGGGTTGGGGAAACAACTAGGGTTTAATTTCTCTCCAGCTTGAGGCTTGCTTACTGCTGCTAGAATGTCTCAATGAGAAACAGGTTAGCTGTGGGGAAAGAGTAGGTTGCTAGAAAAGCAAGGCCAGGAATAAAAGTGCAGACTGCCAGGGTTACACCTGGCCATGACAAGCATGCCCTTGCCCATCAGCACTGTGTGACCCTCTGGAGAGCAGAACGCAGCTGATAACAGACAGGAAGTGGACAAGAACAACGGAACGGAAGGAACAGGGTGGCTTGGTGACACCTTGATCTTAGACTCAGACACGCCTAAGCACAAATCCCAGCTCTGCCACTTGCTTTATGACTTTGAGCAAGTTATTTATCTTCTTAGAATTTTTTTTCTCCCACAAAATGGCAGTCCCACCTCCCACTGTTGTTTTGATTGGGCTTTGACTCAAAGGAACTGCTGAGCTAAAGCCAGCCCCCACTGCTGTTTTGAGATTTAAGAGAGATCAAGTATGTAAAGTGCCTGGTGCACCGTAAACTCTCCATCTAGCCCTTCTTGAACTATGTAAGAATTAACACACTCTTTACACAGCTTGCAGCAACAGCAATTGCCCAGCTAGTTCTTGCATAAAAGTTGCAGCTTGTGGGGGATTTTTTTTAAAAAAGCCTGAACAATAACAGTGGCTATGATGTTTTTCCAGGGCTCAGAGAATTGCCAATGTGCCTCAGAGTGGTTGGTTATCTGGTTTGGGCGGGGTACCCAGCCACTCCCTACACGGCACACATTTCCTAAGCAGCTTCTCTGAGCCTAGCCTGTGCTCCTGAAGAGCTTTCTCTCATGACCCAGATATCACTTGGAGAGTGTAATACAGTCACATTTCTTGGCCTACTGAAATTAGGCTGCTTAGAGAGAGGTCAGGGAACAGGGTGTCAACCTGTGACAGGTTGAACAGGGTGGGACCTGTGACAGGTGCAGTTGCAGGAGCGCTGGCCTAGGAGTCAGAAGATCTGGCTGCTTGTTTTTTTCTGACACTAGCTGGCAGGGGCAAATCACTGAATCTCTAGAGCGTCAGTGACATGAGAAGATCTAGTCCCCTCTGAGCATTTCTGATGTGAATGCCCTGCTTCTGGGCTTATCCTATGTCATCTTGTTTCCCAGGATAGGGACATAAATGGTTAGACAAGTGTTCAATCATTATTGTTTTCTAAGTTCTCAAAATACTGTATCAGTTTCACTTTCTATGGTACTCACCACTGTTGATCCTGTTATAGAATTATTTCAATACTTTTACTGTATACAGTAAAGCCTTGGATTGCGAGTGACTTTGGTTTGCGAGTGTTCCACAAGACGAGCAAACATTTCTAATACATTTTAACATGGTCAACGAGTGATATCTTGTAATCAAGTAGTTTGTTTCCGGAACGAATTATGCTCACAAACCAAGGTATATATTACAGGTATTGAAGTCATATATACATGACTTTATATATATATATATATATATATATATATATATATATATATATATATATATATATATATATATCAGAGTCCCTTGAAGGTATGGACGCATGCTCAATTCACTGGTCTGTTCACCAGCAGGGCCCAGCACTGTATCTTCTACCTAAGATACTCAGTACCAACGTATATGTTGACTGAATGAACCATGTAATAACTAATGACTGCCAACTGTATCAATTAGAAACTCATCACCCATTAAAATACCTACCAGGAAACACTGTGATAGGTAGGGTGGGGTACAAAGATTAAATAAGACATCGCTGTACCTTCCAGGAGCTCTAAATTTAGTAGAGGAACTAAGGTATGTCACAGACAGCTATGAGTAATATATATTCTACAGGAAGTGGACAAGAACAATGGAACGGATATATATATATATATATATATATATATATATATATATATAGGAATATATATATATATATATATATATATATATATATATATATATTCCTATTATATATATATATCCTAATATATATATATATATATATATATATATATATATATATATATATATATTATAGGACAGCAGATATGAGTGTCCCAAAACAGGAACCAAGGTGGAAAACTATAGCAATTCAGGCACAGGAGATCTGGAGGAGGTGGCATCTGAGTTGGACCTTAGAGGACAGCTAGAATTTTAACAGGTAGAGAAAGAAGCAGTTCATGTAAAGTGCATGGAGGGTTAGAACACTGGAAAGAAAACAGAGATCATAGAGTGTGGAGGAGCACATAGAGACTAATAGGAGAAAAGACCAGAATGGCCTCAGAACTTGAAGTAACTACAAATCTAGGTTGGAATGGGGTTATGGGAGGCTGTGAATCCCAAAGGACTCGGAGTGCACAGAATGACCCATTGTACTATAGAAACACTACATATTAGACCTCTACTTACATTCATTACACTGATTTTTAATGTCATCTAATTTCTATTTTCTAACTTTTGTGTATGTTTTATAATGTACAGTAAAGGAGCACAGTAGTACACATACATAATTTATATGTACAGACAAATGGGAATGCACGCTCAAAAGTGTTATGGAGGGGTGCATGATTTTAAAAATTTGGAGACAACTGGTCTCAACCCTCCCATGGGCAATTAGAAGCCATGGAAAGTTTTGCATAAGGAAGCAATCTGATCAAAGTTGTGCTTTGGGAAGATCAACCTGGCAAGGAAGGATAAGATGGGACGACCAACAGGTGGAGGTGGAGGCAAGGAAGCCTTCGCGAGGTATTGCCATGGTGCAGGTAGGATGCATGAAACAGAAGTCTGAAGCCAGGATCATTGGGACTTTCAATAGCCCCCTTGTCAGAGTAGTGGCATATGGGCAATGGACACAAAGGACTCAAATAGACTGAATGTGACAGACGTTGCAAAAGAACAGTGGACAGAAGGAAGGGACAAGAGCTAGTCTTGGACAACTGGGCGTTCAAAGCTGAGCCTGGAATGTTGAGAGAATAATGTTATTGACATTAATAGAGCTGCAGGGTCAGGAAGAGGAGCTGGTTTAGGACGGAAGCTAATAGAAGTTTAGAATTTGAGATCTTCTAGTTCAGCCCTCACAATTTGCTGAGGAAGAAACTGAGGTTCAAAAAAGGGAAAAATATGATAGAGCTGAGACCAGTCATGAGACCTCCTGAATCTCACACTGATCTTGTTTGATGGCCTTTTGGCTTCGGTTTCTTAAGAGCATTATGTTAGATTTTGTTTAACTGAACTTTCTTTTTATTAAATTATTTAGTACAGTCTATTTTCCAGCAATATTTTATGCTGATAGTTTTCAATTTGATGCAGCCAAAAAAGATTAACAGGATATTTGGGAACTCAAAACTACATGATAAAACAGTGATTTTCAATTAAAATAGCATAAAGGAAAAAACAATGCAAAGAGAGCCTTTTGTTTTATTTTATTTATTTATTTATTTATTTATTTTTAAAAGATTTTTATTGGGGAATTCTGGGATGGGAATAGCACTGGGGAATTGGGGGAAGGGGAACAGACAAGTTGCTGTCCTTTTGTTCTTCAGTCTAGTTGTGGAGGACGTTGCTTCACTGGCCCAAGTTGGCACCATCATTGCGCTCTTCCCGGTAGAGGCAGATCAGTTGCCGGCTTCTGGACAGCCGCTCACTGCGGCTGCTGGCCGCTCACACTGGCTGCTGGCTACATACGGTAGCCCAGGCAACCCACTGCCACAGGGGCTGCAGCCTACGCCGTCGCCGGCAACTCACAGCAGCCCAGCTCCAGGTTGAGTTGTTGTTCAGCATCTTAGCTGTAGAGGGCAGTGTCACTGGCCCTCATATGTGGGATCCGAACCGGGGCTCTCTGGCGTCCCAAGCCAGTTCTTAACCATCGCGCCACTCGGCCAGCCCCCAAAGAGAGCCTTTTAAAGTAAGTTAATGACAGTGCCATCAGCAAATATTCAGTCAAATCAAAGTAGAGAACAAAGAACCAAAATAGCACCATACCATGGACAGTAGAGTTTCAAGAAAACGATGGAATGGTGCAGAGAGGCCAAAGATGAGAAAGTCTAAAAAGAGACAATTGGATCAGTGACCTGCAAGAGAGCAGGCTCAGAGGGGCTAGAATCCAAACTGAATGGGATTAAGGAGGTGAGGAGCCTAATGTCAGTTTGGAGAAATCTGAAGGGGAAGGGAAGGACAGGCTAGTAGCTTGAACATGCTCTCGGGCGGAGAAGCAGATGCTGGGAGATGTCATCAGAGTCAGGGAGGGTGCACTGTTACCCTTGGTAAGTGTAATAGTGGATGGAAAGTAGGAGAAAAAGAGTTTGTTTTTGCATACTGGGGAAAAAGAGGAAGGTGTATGAGGAAGAGGCATTCTGTACTGATGAGGCTGTGAAGACAGAGAGGGACAAAAAGAGTATGAAATAGAAAGGTACAGTGACTCAGGGACAGAGCAGACGGAGAGATGGAGACAGAGAGATTGGCAGCTGTCACCAGAAATGTGAGTCCACCATTTGCTTAGAAATCCCTCAGTCTGGTGAGAGCCTGCGTTATCCTCTGTCTAATCTAGCTACATCAGTCTCCCTCCACTCTGCAAAGGGGATGTATAGAACAGCCCGGCATGTGAGCTCCCAGTCGTGTCAGGAGGGCATCACTTGTTTTGGGGGCCAAGACTTTGTATCCCAAATCTGATGGCACCCATGCAAACTAGCGCCAGGTTCTGGGAAGGCTCCCAGAGCTTCTAGAAGAGACAAGGGGTTAAATGCTATCAACATTTTAGAAGGAGAGCCAAGTAGGCTCCCAACAAGGGATTTTGTTCTCATGGCTCTTATATTCACAAAAGCCTGCACAGCATATCTTGGAGTAATGCTTCTTCAGATGATTTCCAGGAGCATCTGCCGATTTGATGAAGAATCTGGTGCCATCAAAGCACAAGCCAGCGATGACTCACTGCAAACTGTTGTTGAGTGTTTGCTGAGTGCAGCAGCAGCCCTTTCTGGCATGGTCGCACCCAGCCTGGCACCAGAAGCCAGGCGGTACTGGGAGAGATACAGCAGGGAGAGGTTCCAGGTTTTGGCATGCTTCTTGGTTCTGCCTTCTGTCCTTGGCTTCCTGCTCTTCCCCCGGTGCCTAAAACCTTCACAGGGACATGTTTTGAGAGAGCTGAGCCATACACACACCCTCCCCTGTTATCTTAAGGTTTGTCCAGGGAAGGTCAGTTATGAAAGTAATGAAGGATGGAGCCTATCCTTTTCTCTTCCAGGCCTTTCCTGTTTTCTGAGACCTGAATACCCAAATCACATTGCTCATACAGCACAAAGAAAAAATCCACATATCACAGAAGAGCCATTTCTTTCTATCGTGTTTTTAACTACATCCTTTTTCACCTTAACCAGGATTCCAAGCTGCTGACCTAGACCTGCTCATTAGAGACAAGCCCTTCACAGGGGCTTAGTTAGACTCCGGCAGAGCCCTGCACTGCAGCCTCCACTCCCAGCCCTCACTCTCCATCACTCCCTTTTCTACCTAAATTTAGCTATGTCTTGTTATAAAAGCCTCCGGTGGTTCCGTGCCCCACCAAGCCCCAGCGTGCAGCCGCCAGTGTTTTCTCTTCTTTACGTCCTGCCGCCACCCTGTTTGCTCCCTGTGCCTGCCTTTCTGTCACCTCCTGGCCTTTTCATCTCTGCCCCCGCCAACCACTCCACTTCTGTTTCCATTTCCATTTCTCTCACCTGCCAGCTCCCTGATTCCGATTCCTTTTCTTTCTCTCTTTCCTCGCTGTCCTTCCTGTCTCTTCGCTGACTTTCCTTCTTTGTTTCTTCTCAGCCAATTAGCTATGATGTCTTCAAGCTGTTCATGAGGACATACCTGGAGGTGGACCTTCCTCAGCCACTGAGCACAAACCTCTTCCTGGCCTTCAGCCAGAAGCCCAGACAGGAGACCCCAGACCACCCAAAGGAGGGGGCCAGCAACGGCGAGGCCAGTGCCCCAGGTACATTGACCAGTATTCTCCAACATGGAAGAGGGGTTTTGCCGCAGGCATGGCTGCACTCCCAGAGGGTTCCCTGAGCATAGTAACTTCTCTAGGGGGGACCAGGGGACCAGGACTCCTGTCCCCATAGGGCCTCCCAGGAAGCCCTGTCTGATGGATCTTTCAGTAAGAGGAATGAAGAGGGCATAATTCCTTCCATGCGGATCAGCGGAGAGGATGGGAGGAAGAGAGGAGCAGACTAAGGTTTGGCAAGGGGAAGGGGGCCTTCCGCACGGGCTGTCAGTCTAGGGGTGGAGCACCTTCAGCTCACGTGCCCAGGCTGGGACTAGCCCGGAAGTGTCAGAGGAAGGGGACGGTGTGTTCTTGAGCTATAATGGGAGAGACACGGCCAACCTCAATAGGTGAGCATGAACCCAGCTGACACCTAGAGACATAGATACAACCCAAGTGATCCAGAAGGTCCCCTACCTGCCCCTCTGTGAAGCTGGAGGGCACGGGCTGGCCTTTAAATCTTCTCTTTGTTCTCCAGATTCTAATATACAAAACATAGACAATGCTGCCAAAGCAGATGAGGCCTGTGCTCCTGACACAGGTAAGTCTTTGGAAAATAAGATTTGGGGGAGGAGGGAAGAGAACCTCATCTTGGAGTGGAGGTGGGAAACCTGAGCAGCAGTTTTGTCTCCATGTAATTGTATGCCCTTGAGCAGATCCTGTCTGCCTCCATCTCTGGGGCCTCTGCTACACCAATGGGCTGGGATTCCGAGGCTGGGTGACAGTTCTTGGGCTAAGGTACAGATGACAGGAGGAGGGTAGGGCAGGAAGGTAAGAGTGTGCTCTGGTTGACTTGCAACAACCTTCACAGTTTGGGTAAGTTGGGAGGAGGAGCGCTGGGAAGGTGGTTAACATTGTTTTAAACATCTATTGCGAGGCACCTCCTTTATTACATATTTCATTTAGCTTTCACAATCACACCACTTTTCACATTGAGGAAATGAGGTTTTTAAAGTTTATAAACCACTGTGTGGCCTGTGGAGCTGGGAACTCAATCCAGAATTGTCTAACCTCAAAGCGCCTGCTCTTTCCTACAGTGTGTCTGTGCCTCAGTTTCCCCATCTATAACATAAGATAATAATGTGTTGATATGGAGGGTAAGTGAGTTATATGTGTAGAATGCTTAGGGCAGTGCCTGGAACACCATAAATGTTCAAAAATATTAGAAATTATTATTCAGGCCACTCTCTAGAAGTACACTTTTATTCTTAACTCATCATCTGCCAAGGTCACTTTCAGTCTGCATCCTCAGTCTCCAAGGTATCAACTAAGCATCCTGTTCCCATGGCGGGACTCTCAGGGACTCTCTCCCTCCTGCGTTGCTCTTGGAGCTTCAAATACAAAGAGTCAGAGAGTCAGGCCTAATTTCCTATGCATTATTGTCTGTAGAAGATTGATTCACATTGGTGAATTCCAGTTCTTGGGGCATGCCTAGGGGATAAAGAATGCAGTTTTATTATATCATTTTATATATATATATATATATATATATATATATATATATATATATATATATTAGATAAGAGATAATACAACTGAATGAGATCTAATTGTAACAGGGAACTAGAATAAAAGAATTTCTTCCAGTGGGTACTAGATGTAGTTCTAATCGTTTTTCCAGTCACAGAAAAAAAGGGCAACTAGAAGAATTATCGAGTTTTCAGTGTTTAAGTGAAAAACTGGTGAAATAAAAAAATCACTATAGGGGATCACTGGTTAGCTCAGTTGGTTGGAGCATGGTGCTGATAGCACCAAGGTTGCCCATTTGATCCCCGCATGGGCCACTGTGAGCTGCGCCCTCCCTAAAAGAGTTAACTATGGCATTGTCGCATGAAAGCAATGTGTAACCAATGACCATAACTGCTCCCCAATAAACTTTTTTTAAAAAATTCACTATAGATGGAAATCAGAACATGGTTGGGAATGGAGAGTTGCCTCTGAGCCATAAACTCAGCAAATTCCAGGCTGCTCATGGAGCTCCAGAAAGCAAGGATTAAGAGCACCGGTGCCTCCCTGAGGCTCTCAGGGACAGCAGCAGGGCCAGATTTTACCAAGTATGGGCTCACCCACCAGCTGCCAGCATCCCATCCAGCCATGCGAGGTCCATGGCCCCTTGGGTAAAGGGACTTAAATCACAAATAAGTCTTAAATCTTCTGTGGGCTAGAGGAGGCATGTTATGACACAAATCATTCTCATGGTAGGAAAGAGAGAGTGAAACTGGAAGCATTGAAATTCTAAACTCTCTGGGAGAAAATCAACCATGAGAAGAGTTTGGCCCCAAATTCTTTACCCAGAGGCTGTCTCAGTCCAAGTAACTGGAACTTCAAGAGGAACCTGAAAGAAGTTATACTTCATTCCCTGAGGTTCCCAATTGTATGAACATGGTTTGTTTTATGGCCAAAGTCTCTGAGGTACCAAGGAAAGACTTATTGGGGGTGCTCTCATTATGTGATATTTGAGGAAAAATAATGGAAGTTGGCTGACTTATTTGACTACCATGCTTACTGGCCATTCCTATAGCATTCTGGGTCTGACAGCAACTTCCAGAGATTTCTTCCTGGGGAAGTGAATTGTGATGCACCATTTTGCTTGTTTATGGGGAATATCAGTCTCCCGTGGTCAAATCATGAAAGGGCACATTATCTAGCACTAGCCCAGGGAGGCATACAGCGTTTTTTTCATCTTCTTTTGTGATGCAAGATTTAAAGTAGAAAATCCTTTTCCTGTTAGGCCACTTTTCATGGATGTCTTAATTAGATGTCCTTGTTCACAGAAACAAGAACATAAGGCCAGGCAGACACCACAGAGAGGGGCCTATCCCAGCAAGGAAGAGCCAAGTATTAGGACCACCAAAGATCAGGCCATCTGTTGAAAATTCCAACCTTTTCCTGCTGCCCAAGCAGAAGTCAGAGGAAAAAACTAAATTCTCATTTGAAATGGCCTATTTAGTGTTTTCTGTAGGTTTCACCCTCTTATTCAATATTCAGAGATAATTTTTGGTGGGCGTGGATATAAAGAGGTTAGGAGAAGAGAAATAGCATGCAAAGTGCCCCAAAAAGTATAATTTACATAGTAAAATATAGGTGCCTAGTTTTCTGGTAACTAATAACCTTATATTTCTGACCCAAAGGACAAAGAGTATGAAAGGGACAGAGTTTTCTTACCTGTGGTAAGGAACATTTCAGAGGGAAAACTTACTTTTTTCCTGTGGTACAATAAGCCACTTTCTGTACTTCCTTAATTCAACTGATTAGGCTTGAAATTAGTCAAAGTTCTTTCTAGTTTCTGGATATCAGGTCAATCCCAGTTTTCTCTTTTGACTGTTCATCTGTTTGTGTCATTAAATGTATTTGAGAAGAAAATTGTGAAAAGGTATATTGGTAAATGACCAATAGTCTGGATTTCAGAATCCCAGGCAAAATTACCTCTACACATTGGCTGTGTTCCCAAAAAATTCAGCTAACTGACATTTATCTGTTGGCTATTGATATTACTAAAAATCACTGTCATCTTTTCTGAAAATTCACAGAGTACTGGTGAATTTCTTACAAGAATAAAGACACTTAAAAGAATCAGAGTAGAGTCCATTCAGAGTATGAACTCCACAAACTGGATTTCTAGGGCTATTGATTTGATCATATCCATGTAACCAGCACTTTTGAAGACGACACTATACAAACTGCTTGCCTCTGCCATCAAAAGGATTTAATATTTACTAAACGTGAGTTGTCCTTGGATGCTGTCCTCTTGCCTATTACAGAATCAAAGACCACTGAGAAGCAAGTGCCAGCTAGAGAAAAAGTGGCCACAATCCCCCTGGAGAACCCTGTTGCTCAATCTTCAGGCTCAGAACCCCCCATTGTGTACCTGAAGGATGTTGTGTGTTACCTGTCCCTGCTGGAGACTGGGAGACCTCAGGATAAGCTAGAGTGTAAGTACTCACCCTGCCAAGGGCCTTCGACGTTTTTCCTAGAGGAAGATCGACTGTCCTGCCCATCATTTTAAACATGCTGTAGATTGTTCTGGGAGCATGGGCATGGGTCGTGCCTCCCTGGAGGAGGCTTTTCTGCCCTGTCACCAGCAGTGGTATGAACATTTCCTAGAGTCGACTCTGGGATACAGTACCAGTTGTGTAGAGAACGGGAAGTGCCTCTGAGACCTTGGTACCGAGAACCAGGATTTGGAAAGGGAAGGAATCTCTGCAAGGGGTCAAGACTCCCTTCCTTGCTGGCAGGACTTTCTGAAAGCCTACAACTAGGAAGCTGCTGCCTGCCCTTAGTAAAGAAGATATTCAGCATCTGTCTTCCTCCCCCTAATCAGTGCCCAAGTAACTCTTTAACTGCGAGAACCTCTTTTTTTTTTTCTTGAGATCTAATCAGCCTCCATCTTGTGAAAGCTTATTTCCATTTTTCATCCATGCCCATCCCAAGTTTTTTGGCCTCTGTAGAAAAAGGACTAGTTAACTAAGGGAGTTGAGCTTGGTTTCACACTGCTACTGCTACTGGTTTCAAACAGATATCTTCAGGAGGAAAATAATAGCTGGTGACTGAAAGAAAAGCCCACAGTGCCTGAAAGAGTCTTGTAGATGATTCACTCCAGGGATGGTCTCACCCACCTCTGTGATCCTGCAGGAAAACATTTTAAGACGGGAGATGATAAGACCTTGTTAAAAATACATAGATATTGTTTAGGCTTCTCTTGGGACTTTAGTAGACATTAAGGGGAAAACAGACACATTATAGCAAAAGTCAAAATTCCAGCCATTAATAAGACTAGTCAACAAAACTTAAACATTAGCAAGGAAACATCTGGCAAAGGTTAACCCTTGCCAAGAACAAATGAAACAGTTTGCTCATTAGCTGAGCTTAAAGTCACCCCCATAGATTTGAGGTGTTAACAGTCACAAGTCTTAAGCACTAATTTGGAAGCAAATGTAGCAGATTTCTGCTGCTTCTGGCTAATGTTAAAAGTGAAATGCCAAATTATTTCCAACATTCAGCTGGATTCTGAGTTTCAGGCATTATATTTGTTCATAATTACCAGAGAGGATGTGGCAGATGCTTCATATTAGCAGCTCTCAGACTCAGTCTTATAATGCCAATAAAAAAAAAGACTGCATTTTAAAAAATGTTATTAAATTTATTGGGATGACATTGGTTAATAAGATGCTATAGGTTTCAAGTATACCATTCTATAATATACCATCTGTAAATTGCATTGTGTGTTCACCACGCAAAGTCAAGTGTCCTTCCGTCACCATATATTTGACCCCCTTTACCCTCTTCTACCTCCCCTCACCCCACATCCCCCTCTGGTAACCATCATGCTGTTGTCTGTGTCTATGAGTTTTTTTGTTTGAAACTGCGTTTTTAAAAAGTTGTTATTATAGAAAATTTCAAACATAGATAAAAGCAGAGAATGCAGTGAACTTTCATGCACTCATCAGCCATCCACCACAATTACCAGTTTCTTGTCAATCGTGGTTTATTTATACCTCCCACTCATTCCCTGTGCCCCAGATTTTTTTTTTTAATTGGGGAATTGGGGGGATGGGAACAGTGCTGGGGAATTGGGGCTGTCATTTTGTTCTTCAGTCTAGTTGTGGAGGACGTTGCTTCACTGGCCCAAGTTGGCACAATCATTGTGCTCTTCCCGGGCGAGGCAGATCAGTCACCGGCTTCTGGACGGTGGCTCACGGCAGCTACTGGCCGCTCACGCTGGCTGCTGGCTACACATGGTAGCCCATGGCAACCCACTGCAGCATGGGCTGCAGCCTACACCGTCGCCGGTGACTCACGGCAGCCCAGCTCCAGGTTGAGCTGTCGTTCAGCATCTTAGCTGTAGAGGGCAGTGTCACTGGCCCTCATATGTGGGATCTGAACCCGGGGCCCTCTGGCGTCCCAAGCCAGCTCTTAACCATCGCGCCACTCGGCCGGCCCTGCCCCAGATTATTTTGAAGCAAATTCCAGACATGATATAATTTAATCTGTGACTATTTCAGTATGAACTTCTAAAATATCACTTTTTCTGATATATAACCACAACACCATTATCACATCTACAGAAAATGATTTCTTACTATTATCAAATATTCAGTCAGTATTCACATTTTCGCAATTGTCTTATATATTTTCAATTGTTTGAATCAGTATCCAGTTAGGTCCGTACATTGCCATTGGTTATTATGTCTCTTCAGTTTCTTTTAATCTTTTGCTTATTTTTTCCTTGCAATTTTTTGTCACAGAAACTTGATCATCTATACTGCGTTTTTGTTTTTGTTTTTAATTAATCCAAATAAATTTGAATTCTCCCTTGATTTTAATGATTGAAAACAAGTTAAGCTTTTCTTTTTAATAACCAAACATGTATTGTTTTGAAAATAATAACCTGAAATCCCCCCTATCACCAATACAATCATAACAATAACTCTCATCAGTGAAGACCTTATATTTGCTAAGAACTTTAAATAATGCATTACCTCATTTTAACCTCATAGTAACCCTAGAAGGTTGATATGATTATTCTAATTTTGCATGTAAGAAAGCACACAAAGGTTAAACGACTTGTTCAAGGCCAGGCTGCTAAAAATATGAGATGCTTACTCACACTTTCTAGCTCTACTCTTCATGCACAGTAGGACCAAGAGAGCTCCATGTTAGAGAGTCGCCTCAGCCCAGGGTCTGGGAGCAACACTGGTGTGAAGGCCTGTCCTTTTTTACATCCTTCAACCATCTGTTTGGCAAGTCAACCTCATATGCTGAGTGCCTCTGACAAGAGGTTCTGAGGAGCCACAAAAAATCAGAAGCCCATGACCCTACTTTAAACAGCTTAGACTCCAACCAGGGATGCACCACTAAGCAAACACAAGCTGTGGAGACATTAAAACATGTAGTAGGAGTTGACAACACAAGGGCAACTTAACAGGAGTGCTGTGACCCTGTGGGTACATGCTGAGACCCAGGGTGTTTGTATGGGGGAAGGGTGGGTCAGGGGAGGCTCCACAGAGAAAGCAGGCATAATGAAGGGTTGTAGAGAATGGGAGGAAAATGGAGACACGTTCAGCTCTGCTCTCCACCCTGCTTACTTCTGAGACCACAGACAGGGTCGCTACCTTTCAGATAAACGAAATGCAAGTCTCCAGGTCCCCTAAACGCACATTTAGTGCTTTGCCCAATTTCTCTCCCAGATCTTCCTTATCCTATATCGCCTCTCTACCACTGGAACATGATAGAGGATGTTTCTGTTCTGACTATATTGTTTATTATCTTCCAATCCCCCCAAACAACAACAACAACAAACCAAAAATTCCCACAACATACCAAGCCAAAATCAAAATTAATAAACAAAACCAAATTAAAAATAATCTCCTTCGAGGGTCTGGTCTCTTGGATTGGAGGTTCTCAAAGACGACTGTCCCCATCAATGGTTTACTGATGAGGTACGTGGAGGGGTGATCAAGGATATAAATGCTTGTTAAGGATACTGCTGGCTAAGGTCAGAATAAATTTGTTAGAAGTCTTAAGAACCATTAAAATATTGTGGTTCTCCCACTGTTTCTCAAATGTGTAATTCAAACTTTAAGAAGTAATGTCAAATCATAAAATAGATGTAAGGCAAAAAAAAAAAAAAAACCCAAAAAACAATCTCATTCAACTGGAAGGTCTGGTGGGTGGTGAAGGCCCAGGAACAGGGTAGCTTGTAATCTGACATAATAGAGAACGTTTCTGAATAGCATGTTGACATTTTAGAAAAAGAAATACAATAGCTTCTATAATAGGAACTACTTCATGACATTACTGAGGATTAACTAACTAATAATGATAAAGTGCATAGGACAGTACATTGTACATATTAAATGCCATAGATAAATGGTCATTAGTGAAAGAAAATAGAAATAAACAACATCTATTGAGTACTTCTACATTCCAAACACTGTAGATTTGATATATCATTTACATATTAGTCCTCATTTAAAAAAAAAAAAACCGCAGGAGAAAGAAACAGTTTTCATCTCCATCTTACAGATGAAGAAACCGAGCCTGAAGAAGCTGACTTATTTGGTTATTACAGGTGGTAGGGTAGGGCCAAGGTTTGAATCTGCCTAAAGCCACACCGTTTCTGTGTGCAACAGAAGCAGTGTTCCGTCTATACTTCTGGTGCCTCTGCCCCACCACCAGTTGGGCATTTGCTTTGTGTTGTGTTCCAGTAATGCTGAGGGGTTTGAATGCTCTACAGGGAGTCACACTCATGGTCTGGATCTCGACAGTTATTGCTTAGGCAGTCCCAGAAGCCAGGTGGCTTGGTTCTTCTCCCTCTCCCCACTCTCTCTGTAAAGAAGTCAGACTCTGTGCCTTGGAGGGTGGGTAAGCTGGTTGTAATGCCTTTGCCCCAGTGATGGTCAGAATTGATCTAAAAACTAGCGGCAACAGAGCCTTAGCCCATCCCTGATGTTTGGAGGATGCCTCAAGCCTCACCTCTTTGTTTCTTGCAGTCATGTTTCATCTCTATGATTCGGATGAGAATGGTCTACTGGACCAAGCGGTAAGTTCTCCAAATATTCCTTCCGGATCTGAGAAAGGCTGGGGGAGAGGGGGACAGGTGGAGGAAGAGTCTGAAAACTCTCAGTTCCATCTTTATAAGAATAGCAATGTCTCAATATGGGCTGTAGAAATGAGTAGTACCCTGCCCGCCACCTTCTGTTTCCAAAGAACCAGCCTGGAGGAGAGTGAACTCCAATTGCCTTTTCATTCCAGAAGGCCAGGATCATAAAATTTCAGAATAGGGAGATGCTTTAGGATTGCCTCTAGTTTAACTTCCCGATGGTTTCAGAAACTCCCCCTGCAATGTTTTGGCTGGAGCCTAGGGGCAGAGGGGAGGAGGCAGAAGAGGCAGCAAGACCAGCGCAGGAGGACAGGAGGAGGCAGGTGACTGCCGGTGTGCTGCGGCATCTCCCTGGCCCTGCTTTCACACCCCAGGTCACTCGCTCTAGGAGTCTGGCTCTGTCTGCTCTGAGCACATGATCCGATCCCATTGCACCTAGAAAAGCCTGAGATTTGCGCCGCGCACACACACATGCATGCGCGCACGTGCACACGCACACACACACGCGCACACACCATTCCTCAGGAATAAGCAGGGAAAGGTCAGGGATCATGCATTGAGAGGAAGGATGGAAAAGGAAGAAGGCAGAGAGGGGCAAGGGTGAACAGAGTCAGATAAGCCTTGTCTCCATGACTGGCAATGTCAGAGATGGGACTCATTAACAGAAAGGCTCTGATGTTGAGGTACGTAGGGCTGAGTCAGACCAGAGTGAAGAAGAAAGGCAACAAGTTCAGTAGAGCAACTACATCCCAATTCCCTCTGAATCCCAAAGTATCTTTATGGGATCCTAATAGCCACATTGCAATGCTGTGGGTTGGGTCATACAAAGGAACAACCAGAGAATCACAGACTCTCAAGCATTTGGTCAACATACCAGGGGTGCCAAAAAAACTGTACACATTTTAAGAGATGTTATCTATGTATTACTTTTTGAAGTTGACTTGAATTACAGTAGCAATGTGTAGTGGGACATTCACTCAAAAGATGGCATTAATCCAATGACTGCTAGTGTCATTCATTGTATTACAATTTTAATACAATTTTTTCCTTTCTTAAAATGTGTGTACATTTTTGGCACCCTCTGTATATTAAGTATCTACTATGTGCCAGGCACTATTCTTAGCAAGGGGGGTATATCAGTGAACCAACTGACAAAAACCCATGCCCTCATGAAGCTTTGATTCTAGTGCAAGCACACTAAAAGCACAGTAAAATATGTGCTAGATAGAGATGTGTGCTAAAAGAAAAATAAAGGAGGGAAAGGAAGTGTTGGAGGGAGCTGCAGGTTTCCCTGGAGAGGGGACATCTGAACAGAGACTTGAAGGTGGTAAGGAACTAGTCATGGGAATATCTAGAAGAAGCGCCTTTCAGGAGAGGGAACAAGTGCAACAGTCATGAGGGATGCCTGAAATATTACAGATTCACTAGGAGGCCAGAGTGACTAGAGCAGAATGAGTGAACAGACAAGGTCAGAGGAAGTAATAAGAGATGAGATTAGAGAAGTAATGGGACAGGGGGTGGATGAAGTTTGCAAAGCATTATCAGGTCTTTGAGGTGATTGAAAGGGTTTACCTTTTACTCTGGAGAAATGAGACCATTGAAGATTTTGAGCAGAGGAGTGACATGGCTGTCTTGGGTTATAACAGGATCACTCTAGCTGCTATATTGAGTCTAGACTATAGGGGTACAAGGGATACCAGGTAGGAGGCTATTGAAATAAGCTAGACAAGAAATGATGGTTGTTTGCACCAGGGTAGAAGCATTGCAGGTGTAAGAAGTGGTTACCTTACCATGCACAGTAATACCTTGGTTTGCAAGCGTAATTCGTTCTGGAAACAAACTACTCGTATTGCAAGGTATCACTCATTTACCACATTAAAATGTATTCGAAATGTTTGCCCGTCTTGCAGAACACTTGCAAACCACGTTACTCGCAATCCAAGGTTTTACTGTATTTGGAAGGTAACATCGGTGGACTTAAGCAGTCTCAGAAGAGTTACCTGATTCAACTTCCCACCAGGAATCCCTGGCATCGGGACACCCAGCCTTTTTGTGAACACTCCCAGTAATAGACAGTTGACCCACTGCCTTAAAACTGCACCTCCACTGCTGGGGGTGACTGTTAGAGAGGGCTTCCTTCCCACACAAAAGGCACCTGTAGTCTGCCAGGGAATTGTCAACACAAAACCCGATTCTGCTATTCCTTCCAACTCCCCTAACCCAGCAGGGAGGCCACAATAGGCCAGCCCTCAGCAACTCCTTCCCTATATCCCTCAGCTTCCTTCTGCCCTTTGTAACTGACCAGGACAGCTGACCAGTGGAATACCAATTCTACACAATGGTCCTTCAAGTATTTCAAGTACTATCACATCTGTCCTAAAATCTTCTCCAAGCTCAAGTCTCCCAATCCCTAAACTGTTTCTCATAAGGCAGGCTTAAACACCCACTTTGGTCAAGCTCTGCTTTGTCAATGCCATTCTTAAAATATGGCACAGTTCTAAACCCACCCCTCCATGACTCTTCAAGTGTCCACATATGGCCGGACCAGGGTAGACATCAGGGGAGCTTGTTCTTCCTGACATCTGCCCCCTCTGCTTCCTGAAAATGCTCACCCATTTACACAGCTCAGGACTGAGTCTAGTTCTCAGCTCCTGAATCTTGGACCCGACTAGATACACAAGCTCTTTTCCATTGGAAGTTCTGCTGAGCCCTGTCCCCACCTTTCTGCCCACTTCCTTACTCCCATCTGCCACCTCACCTATAGTTTTGCAGTGGGTTGTTTTTTAATTTAAATGAAATATAATTTCTTAAAATTCCTGTAACCTCCACCATTCTACCTGGTGGAGGTAACCCTTTGGAACCTTGCTTCAGTTCACCAACGTGTCTCCCCACATCAATCTTATGATTAACATCCTACATGGTGCCCAAGAGATGCAAATGTCTCCTCAATGCAGCGTGTTTCAGTGGGACTCTCAGTACACTGACTCATTAGCATCCAGCAATTCTGTGAGGTTTTAGATAGAGTGGGACCTTGGTACCAAGCAAAAGGCTCACTCACCAGGCCAACGTACCCTTCATGAACTTCCTGTTCACAGAGTCCTGGACTCAGGGCCTGAACATGATACAAAGCAAACAAAGGAGATGCCAAAAGGAATCTAAATCATAGTGCCAGAGCTTGGACCAACCCAGTGGCCCTACATCCAATTGAAACTGACCCCTGAGGAGGGCAGATAGCTCCCAAGTTGCTAACATTGTGGGAATGAGGAGTGATCCAAAAGGGAGGAGAGAGATGCCTTGGTCTGGAAGGATTTGAGGGAGTTAAGATCACAAAGAAGAAAACAGGAGTGCTTCCTGTGCTCTCTAAGTCAAAGTCCAGTCTAGGGGAAGGAGTGTGAGTCCAGGTGGGCCCAGGCAGAGGTCAGAGTTCTGGAGCTACCTGCATACCTCTGGCTTATCTGTCTTCTCTGCTTCTTGTGAGCATCTACTCTCCACTGAGCTTTGTGCTTAAGGCAGAAATAATGAGCAGAAACAAATGGTGAGCTCCCCATGAAATGCCAGTATATTGCACTAGGATTTGATGTTGAGTCTTGCTCTTGAAAACACACCTTCTGGGTTTCTCCTTTTGATGTTTCCTAGGAGATGGATCGTATTGTCAACCAGATGCTGCACATTGCCCAGTATCTCGAGTGGGATCCCACGGAGCTAAGGCCTGTGAGTTTCCGGAAGCATGGGGTAACTTCCAAGCGAGCTTCCAAGAGACAAGTGGGACAGACTCAGGACTTGGATATAAATGTTTACTGTTCAGGCTGTCCTGTTCATGTTCTTACAGGCAGCTTCTCTGGGGTCCTACATCTTGATCTCGCACTTCTCTGATAGGAAAATTTATAGACAACAGGGAAAAGTGTAGATATAATTTAAATAATAATTCCCCCTGACCTTTTCATCAGCACTGAACTTTTATATCAGGCATCCATAGATCAAAGAATTTAGATCTAGAAAGAATTTTAAAGCTTTTTCTCAATCACCAGATAGTAATAATCATTACATTTTATATACTTTTCCTCTAATCCTCACAACAGTGCTGCAGACATCGCAATATTATTTCCATTTTACAGATGAGCAACACAGAACCCAGAGAGTCGGGGTGGCTTGTCCAAGGCCACTCAGTCAGGTCCAGTAGAGCTGAGCCTGGAGCCCTGGTCTCCTCGCCCTCACTTGCTCCCTCACTGCTTCACTCACTGTGAATCAGAAGGGAAAAGGGCAAAACACCAGCCAGACAATGCAGAACGAAAGAGAAATAAGATGGCAGAGGAGGGCAGAAAAGTCGAGGATGAAAGTAGACAACTGCTGCTCTATGGATTCCACAGATTTTGAAGGAGATGTTGCAAGGAATGGACTACGACCGGGACGGCTTTGTGTCTCTACAGGAATGGATTCACGGAGGGATGACCACCATCCCGTTGCTGGTCCTCTTGGGCATGGATGACTCTGTAAGTCAGCAAGCCTGAGTTCAAAGATGTCTGGCCTTTCAAGAGCATAAAGCTCTATATGGAAGTTAATATCTATGTATTGCCTTGGCTTCTGCCCAAATGCACTCACCTTATGCTCTAGGCCAACTAAAAAGTCTTCTCTTTTTACCTATTAGTGACTAAAATATATTCATTCATTTGACAGGCATGCACTAAATTGTTACTAAATAAAGAAACTGTTCTGAGCTGTGTGAGGAAACACACATACAATATTCACCCCTCAGGTTATGCTCAACCAGGCAAAGGGCAAAAAATAGTCAAGGAAGAATTCTATCTTTTCCACAAATTAGGTTTAAAAATGCAAAGAGTTGGGGAAGGAAGGAAGGGAAGGAAAAAATACTGATTCGTTATGAGGTGGAGGGCAATCAATGATTGTCTCTTATTTAACAATCAGAACAACCGGATAAGGCAGGTTGTTTTTTTTTCTCAGTTTATACACATGGAAAACTGAGAGTCTCAGCCTAAGGAGCAAACGGAGGAGCCAGAATTTATTTCAGGAGCATCTTTGGAATACTTGACTCCAAAGACCCTGCACTTTCTAACAACCCACACTTCGGAGTAAGACCAGTGGGAAGGAACAGTAGAGGGTATTTACTTTGGCCCTGAAGGATGTGTGGGATTTTGATATTCCATTTTGAGATAAAGATCAAGTGGAAGGACCTTGAAGGATGTTTGATCCAGTTCTCATGGATGGGGATGATTTGGAGGTAGAAGATGGTAGAGAGCTTGTGGCCAGGATAACAGCTTGATCAAAGACCCAAATGAAAGAAAGTTCAGGGTGTATTAGAGAAACCTCCCAGTTTGATCAGAGTAGGGGATAAATGTAGAGGCTTCACGTAAAATCAGTAATTAAATATGGCTTCACCTGACCTAGTTGGTTACTGCGTTTTCTGCTAATTTACCAAGTGAGGTAACTTTCATACATGAGATAGGAAAGATTAGAACTAGAAGTACAAACGGTGACATTAAGCATTTACCTGGACAGTCTCACAGATTGTGCGACAATACCCCTTTGAGATTACTGGAATGTCATAGAGAGGAACAGAACAGGAAAGTCAGCTGGGTTGTCCTCTAGCTCACTGCCATTGCCTGTAATGTCTCCATCCCACAATTCTGCAATTCGGGACTAAAGCTGAGCCTTCATTTCCAATATCAAGAACTAAGAATCCTGCAAACACCTCATAGCATGTCCAGTTCTTTACAATGGCTAAGTAGAAATCAAGGACCCAGGAGCTACAAAACTCCCTTCTTATTTCTTAGAACCCTAGAAAGTCAGAGCTGGAAAAGACTTTGATGATCCCTGGTCTATCCTCTTCATTTTACAAACTGAGGACCAGAGGGGTAAAGATCTTGCCCATGAGCACACAACTAGTTAGTACCAAAGGCCATCCTCCATATTCAGGAACAGTAGACTCCTCATGCATTGATCACTTACCAAGAACCTACTGTGTGCAAAAACCCACATGAGCTAGGTAGGCCCTGTGGGCGCTCACAGGAATAGATATACTTCCTGCCATCGGTACTCAAAATTATACCTGAATCATCAAGAGTTTGAGCTCTGAGCAACAGCGGTTCGAGTCCAGCCCGAGCTGAGCAGCCGCTGAGCTGCCAACAGGTAGCAGGATGGCTCAGCTAAAANATATATATATATATATATATATATATATATATATATATATATATATATATATATACCTGAATCAAAGTAGAAGTTCTGCTTGGGTGCTGTTCCAACATACCTGTTTTTTCCTCTGAAACATGGAAATAGAGATGAAACATTTTAATCAAAATAAACAAATGTCTATTTTCTATTTCCTATTTTGGACTTGCTGAGTCCAAAGTACCTCCAACCCTTTGCATAAAGGGGAACCCCTGTTTTATGGCTGAAGGAGGGAGCAACAGACTATTTCTTCAACATTCTCCCCAGTGTCTCCTCCCAATGCCAGTCAGCCTTACAGAAAACCGTACTTTATATCAAGAAAGCAGCACACAAACAAAAAATGTGAATTTAGTTTTTATTAATCAAAAATTTTACGTGTTTATTTTTAAATATGCACTAAATTCTAAGTTTCTACAGTTAATATTTGGAGTTCAGAGAAAGCATTCCTCAATGCCTTACAAGTCATATTGCTTGTTTGGCTTTTTCAAAACCCGCATATGGCCACTAAAAAGTCTGGAGCTCTCTGAACGTGATGCATGCGACAGAACCTGTCACCCAGTGAAATTACAGCAGCGGCCTAAACCTGGCATGCATAAGCAAGGTTACTCCCACATCCTGCAACCTCCAATGCGCAGACGTGAAAGCGCCACATGATGGTGCTATAACCCAAGCGGAAAGCTTCCCTTATCCCAAGTCAGGGTCCTTTTGCTTCTGTGAAAATAGTGTCTGAGAAAGGGAGAGTCATCTAACAGATTTAACTAATAAAGGTATTTTCAGGTAAAACAGCAGTGCTGTACTTTCCCTGCTGTCCTTGAAAACCCTGATTTGTGGAGGAAGGTGAGAAAGATGGAAGGAGCATGGGCTCTGAGGCCAGCAAGAGTCCCGGTTTGACTACTGGCTCAGTCACTTATGATTTGGGTAGTCGTAGGCTATCTACCGTATTTCCCCATGTATAAGACGCACCCTTTGAAAATTTTGGGGTCTAAAAACTGGGTGCGTCTTATACAGTGGTTGTAGATTTTTTTACTTGCATTTCCCACTTTTTTCGTGCTTGTTTTTGCGCTCACACGATCACTGTATAAGACGCACCCAGTTTTTAGACCCCAAATTTTTCAAAAAAGGGTGCGTCTTGTACATGGGGAAATATGGTGTATATATAACTTTCCTGAGTCTCTGTTTCTTCCTTTCTAGAATAAGTATAAATCTACCTCCTTACACATAAGAAAACACTCTTTACTGATTTTTGTGTCCCCTACTGTCTAGCACAGAGTAGGAACTTAATAAAAGTTTCAATTTACAATGTGTCAGGCACTGTAAAAGGAGCTTTACTTGTTTATTTAATTCTTACAAAAATCACTTGAGGTTGATGTTTGTCCAAGGAATGAATGAATCAGTCTTTTCATGAATCATGTTAATCAATTGATGAACCTGTTTACTAAAGTAGAAATCATTAGATAGAAAGGCTGTAATTCTATAACACTCAGGTCTTAGAAGAAGCAAGGTTTTGAAGTGGTGAGTAGAAAAGAGTTCGCGCTGGTCCCAGGAGGAGAGCACATGGGCTCCTCTAGAGGCCGTTAGCAGGAAAGTCGGCCTGGGAATAGGCTGCCATGACCAGCTCCAACCAAAAGGGCCTGGAAGTAAGAACTGGGTTTGAGTCTGGCACGCTGGACTCTGTGTACCTGACTATCAATCCCCAGCAACTTACTACAGCCGTTTTTACTACCCTAAGGACCAGCCCACGAGTGGTGGTGCTCTTTTGATGGAGCCTATGAGAAACGTACAGGGGCAGTATGCATGGAGGGATGGTCCTGAAGCCACAGCCTCCAGCAAGGCTGTGCTCCCAGGGGCTAGGAGGTGGGAGCTTTGGTATCCAGGGAAGGTGCACGATTGTGTGAGGCTTGGCTTACCTAGTGCATAAGGATGAATTCGCTTCTGAGCCAAGTAGGGAGAAAATGTCTGAACCTTCTCTCTGACTGTCTCTTTACTATTTTATCTGTGTTTGGAAAGTTGATGAGAGGAGTGGATTGTTTTTACTAAACTGCTTTTTTCTGATTATAAAACTAGTACTGCTCACTATAGAAAATTTGGAAAATACAGAAGAAAGCAGAATAAAATAAATGCATACTGCTTACAGCTATGTTAACAGTTTAGTGATATTTCTTCCCATCAAAGCTCTTATTATATAAAACTGAGCTCATAATAGATCATCAGATTTTCATTCTGCCTTTTTTACGTAGCACTATATCATAAGCACATTCCCATGCCATTAGGATTTTTTTATAAATATTTTTTTTGATGGCCACTTAACATTAAATCACATGGCTGTACCACAACTAACCTTTTGGTAATTTTGAGATCTTTAGGATATTTCCAGTTTTGCATTATTTTCAATAAATAAAAACATCTGACAGAGCACAAAAAATGCTCATCTGTCTTTCAAAAATTATTTCTTTAGGACAGAATCCAAGAAATGAAATCTGTAAGTCAAAGGTTACAAACATTTAAAGGACCTTTAGAGATAGATAGATGATAGATAGATAGATAGATAGATAGATAGATAGATAGATAGATAGATAGGAGGGAGGGAGGGAGGGAGGGAGGAAGGAAGGAAGGAAGGAAGGGAGCGAGAGAGTTTGTTCGGATTTACATTTCCATCTGCCATGTAGGAGAGGGCTTGTTTTATCCCTCCCACACATGCGCCTACTCAAATATTCCTAATTTTTAATATTTGTTAATCTTAGAAAACACACACACAAAGAACTTTCTTTTGATTTTCATTTCTTTTAAAATAGTCCTTACATCAATAAAATAAATGAATATCTTTTCTTTCAAGTATGAGAAGAGAATCTTTTTAGAAAGAAGACGACATACAGGAGTTGGCCCCAGGCTTCTGCTAGCGTGGAGGCTGCCTGCTCAGCACCCCATTCCCTTGTTATCCCTGCAGGGCCCCACAGGGGACGGGAGGCATGCTTGGACCATGAAGCATTTCAAGAAACCAACCTACTGCAACTTCTGCCATGTCATGCTGATGGGCGTTCGGAAGCAAGGCCTGTGCTGCATTTGTGAGTAAACTTCCTTCAAACCCGTTTTCCTCAGGAACAATCTTGCTCTGCACATGGTTGAGCCTTCCAGAAAAAGTCTAGGTATTTCTGCTTCCTAGCGTGAAGGACCTTTCATATTGTTCCAGCACCAGGGAATAAGGCAAGACCTCCGTGTGCTATTTTTGTTCCACCCAAGTCAAATGGATAAGTATTGTCCCATTGTTGGAGTCCCGCCGTGGGCCACTGACCCCCCACACACACACACCGAAAAAAGTTATTAAGGTTCACACACAATTAAAAAACATCTCATAATAATTTCATTTGGGTTTTGCTAGTGAATATTTTGGGTGGTCAGAAGAACCTTCTTTTTTTAAATTAATAAGCCACATAAAGCTATACTTATAAATGCAGTGGAAATTAAAGCTCTTTTGCTTTATGATCCATTTAGTAAAGTCAGAACAGAAAGGAGAAAAAACACATGTGAAAAAGGAAGGTGGGGGCAGGGATTGGAAAGGAGAACAGAAGAAAGGGAAGGATAAAAGAAGAGGTGATGTAGGAAGGAGGGTGGATTTGGGGAGGGTGGAGAGGGGAGGGGGCTGCAGTGAGAAGGCTTTGTAGGGGCCTGGGTACATGAGTGCAGTGTTCTACCAATCACTGCACAATACAGACAGGTCTGGACCCACCAGAGCCTGGGGAGCTGCTGCTGCAGGGAGAGCCCTTGGGTGTGGTCAAGATCTCCAGAGCTATTCACCTAAACACACACACGTGAGCTAGGCAGCAGGTGACCTTGGCCACAAAAGTCATCTTAACAGAGCTGGGCCCACTGTCCACCAAGAGCAACAGAAGGCTTAAGAAGAGGTCTCTACAGCACCCATACAAATCTATCTCACCACTTTTTATAGACCCAGTCTCATTCCTATTAGGTTCCAGGTCTGTGGGCCTCTGCTGTTTGCGTAATAGTAAGTAGTAATAGCAACAATATTAATAATAATTAGTGAAATAGCTATTGTGACCCAGACACATGGTGCTTGATACAAGTTATCTCATTTAATGCTGCAAAAGCCCTGCATTTTGCAAATGAGAAAGAGAGGCAATTTCTTTTTTGAGAAAAAGAAATTTTCTTTTTCTTTTTCTCAAACAGAAAGAAAGGCAATTTTATTCCCATTTTGTAGGAAACCCCAAATTTCAAAGACGTGAAACAACTTACACAAGATCATATGGGAAGACCCCTGGCCTTTCTGGCCACACCCCAGCCTCCCTGATGTTGGATAGGCAGGAGGATGACTCCTCATGCTGCCCTCAAGTGGGAAGTGTCTTTCTGGGATGTAGTCCAGTTGCATCCACTGCTCACAGTGGAAGGCAGTGTGGCAGTGTGGAGGGTGCAGAAGCAGGTCTGGGAGGTATCCATGGACTCTCTTCCCAGTGGACAACTGGAGACTGTTTTGAATTTCCATTAGACAAGGCAAGCTCCATATGTCCCCTGCCCCTGGCTGGCCACCCAGAGGGAGGCATGGGCCTCAGTTGGAGTAGGGATGGGAGTGGGGTGGCTGGACCTGTCCTAGATGGTCACTCATAAGCACTTTCCTTACTTTTTTCAGACTGTAAATACACCGTCCACGAACGCTGTGTATCCAAAAACATTCCTGGGTGTGTCAAAACGTACTCAAAAACCAAAAGGGGCGGCGAGGTTGGTGACACCTATTGCCTTGTTTTACTGCATGCTGTGTCCCAGGCAACATGTCAATCACCACAGATTCCTGGGCAAGAAGGGGCTTTGGGAGCTTTATCCAGTAGCCTCTCTGCCTTGAGGACTACCCTTAAATCATCTCATTCATCCATCAATGCATTCAGCATCTCCCTGGTGTCCACCACGAGTCAGGCACTGTGCTAGGGGGTATGCAGGTTATAAGATGGACCTCAGCCTGCTGGAGAATTGTGCAGACGAGAGACAGGGAAAGAGAGAGGCACGTGAGCCACGTACAAAGTGGTGAGATGGACGATAGCAATAGGGCTGTGTGGGTTGGGACATGCAATTGAGGCACCAAGGGAGGAGGCCAGGGAAGATTTCACAAAGCAGATGGCATCTGAGTTGTGTCTTGAACCCAAATCAGGAGGACTTCACAATGCATGGAGGACAAGGCACCCATGCCGAAGAAGCCTTGAATGCAAAGGCATGGAGGAGATATGGCTTATTCTGGGAGCTGTACTTAGTTTGGTGTGACTGGGATGGAGGACGCTTAAAGCGAAGTAGCAGGCGATGTATTCTGAAAGGGTGAGATCCAGCCTGGGAAGACCTTGTGAGGCCAGATGAGGAGTCGGGGAGGAGTTTCTAAGGAGACACTGAAAAGCTTTGAGCACATGAGATCATTGGGTTTGTGAATTAAAGTGATTGCTCTGATCATAGTGCAGGCGAGAGATCCGAGGGGTAAAAAACTCTTCCAATGGTTCAGGCAAGGGGCAGTGCTGCCTGAGGGCCCTGGGCCTGGGCTGGGGTCTGCACCCACCCGCTATGCTCTGACCTGTCCGCAGTAGCAGTGGTGGCTGTGTCTGTGCTGAAGGTCTCCCAGCCATGCTAGTTGTTGGGCATTTTGACTGTCCCACAGGCTAAGGTAGAGAAGATGAAGGGAGAGCTTGAGAGGTCATTTGGATGGATGTACCACCACCAGGACCTGGTGATGGGGATGTAATTGATGAGAGAAAGGAAAAATTGGGGAATGGCTCCCAGGTTTCTAACTTGGCCATTGGGTGGTGCTGTTCACCGAGTCTGGAAACAGACTCTTCTCAAAATTAGCAGGGGAAGGATACTCTGAGTTCCTGTAGGGAAGATTCCAATGAGGAATGTGAGTCAGGAGGTGGTTAGCAGGTGGGAGTGGTACCCAGCCCTCCCCAGAAGGACTCTGAGAGAGAAGGGCACCTCCAAGGACATGCATGCATGCCCCATGAGACACCGCATGGCCTCTTGTCTACTCCTTCTGCACCACACCCATACACACACCTTTCCATGTCCATGGCTTTCACCAGGACGCACGGTGCACTCCTGGGCTTAGGCCCTAAGCCTGCACTCTGGCCACTTGCCACACATGGAACAGAGGAAGGCCACTGAGGGGCCAGCATGGCATGTTCACAACCTTCTGAGTCTCCAGGAGCAACCCAAGTCCTTCGCCATCTCTTCCAACCACAGAAGACGAGGGAGAAGGCAATGTGGTGTTGGGAGACAACCATGGACTTGGAGTCAGAAGACCTGGCTATGAAGCCCTGCTTGTCCACTTACCAGCCTTGGAATCTAGGGCCAGTCACTTAACCTCTCTGAAGCCTCATTTTCATTCTCTGCAAAATTGAAATAGTGATCTCAGAGCAAGTTCAATATGACCACAGACCATGTATATGACAAATTGATTAGCATTTATACCCTCAGGGGTGAATAGCAGCAAGAGAGAAGCTACAAACTAAAGGTGACACATCATCTAGACCAATTTTACCAAAACCCTTTTGAGAGGAGGACATAGTACCTTAACTGATAAGTAATTTAAAACTTCCATTTAATGCAAGCATGGATGGTATCATGCAAATATTCCATGTGTTTTTAATATTGTGCTTGCAGTTGGGCACTTCAGACAAGGCTCCCACATTCCCCTAGAATCCATACCCTATACCTTCTGCTATCCTGGGTTCCCTGGTGGAAAATTGTGAGAAGTTCTATAGAATTCATGGGGGAGACAATTGAGGACTCAGGCCAACGGGTGTCATGGGTCACTTTGGCTGTACTTACGGACACACACATACACATGTATCCCACCTGCTTCCCAAGTTCTTGGGCTGCTCTAGTGGCATTTCCTGTTCAGGGAGCAGGTACAGCCAGCTCTCCAGGAAACAGATGTGAAATCTGCTAACTGGTGACCCACACTAATTTCTTTGAACTTTTTCCTCTAACTTCCTTCTAGAGTGCTTTTCAACCTTGGCTGCACACTGTAATCACTCACTGTGCTTTAAGACATTCTAATGATGGGTTCCATCCCCAGAGACTATTTGGTTTGGAGTGAGGGCTGGGCATTAGAACTTCAAGAAGCTCCCCAGGTGATTCTGATGGGCTGCTAAGGCTGAGAGTCACTGGCCCATAGACGACGGGAAGGGGAAGGAAGTTACCCATCAGTGGACACCTCCAAAGGGCCAGGACTGTGCCAGGAAGGCCCTTTCAAGTGTGCTATCTCATTTAGTGTTCGCAGCAAACCTAGAGGTGGGGCTTATTATGCCGTTCCTACAGACAAGGAACCTGAGACTAAGCAAGGTCCAGGAACTGGTCAAAGGTCACCGTGCTGCGAAGTGGAAGATCAATGACTCCAACCAGTTTTGTCTCCTGCCCAAGCCCTCCCCCTCCTGTGTTTCCCTGCATCGCGCTGCCTTCCAGGAGAGGATGCACACAAGCACATCACTCTGCGATGAGTTCTGCAAGACAGACAGATGGACTGCCAGACAAGATGCTGCTCAGAGGCTTGATTGCCAGGGTGACTGAGCTATTCAAAGCACAGGAAAAATAATTTTCATCTTCCTTGATTAGCAAAATGGTGGTTAAGTAGGAAGAGACCACATCAGTGCAATGCAGAGCCCAGCATCCAATAATTGCATAAACTAAGCAGGAAACTGCCCCCTCTGACCGCCCCCCTCCCTGTGCTCCTCCCAGACCCTTCTCCTCAGGCTCAGGGCCCAGGGCGGTTCTACAGCCTCCCCTGGTATCCTTCCCTTCCCTCCTGCAGGTGATGCAGCACGCGTGGGTGGAAGGGAACACCTCCGTCAAGTGTGACCGGTGCCACAAAAGTATCAAGTGCTACCAGAGTGTCACCGCGCGGCACTGCGTGTGGTGCCGGATGACGGTGGGTTGGCGCCTAGCACAGCCCTGCTTCTTTTCAGTGTGGTTTTTTGCTCAAGCTGTGGCCAGGGATTAGTGGACATCCTGCCAGAGGGCGTGAGCAGAGCCAGGGGGGCAAGGCCGGGGGGTGGCCAGAGCCCCCATTCAGTGCCCTAAGTCTAACAGTGCCTCCAAGAATCACCAAGCTTTCAGGAGAGAGGGCACCCCCAGAACCAGGGGAGTGAGGGCTGCTTAAGAAGACGCTGGCCAATCCATTGTCTCTGTGGCCAGGTAGCTGTGAACAGAAGGCTGGACCCTTAACTTCCTTTGCCTGGGTATCCTCTGGGGCCAGGGACACCAACAGAGTTGGAGAGGAATTTGACATCAGAATCGTGTTCCTCCAGGCGTCAAAGGAAGGCACACTCCTTACAGCAGCCCCACTGCCTGGGCCAGAGGCCTGTGCCTGCTGCCACCAGCCACAGCAAATGTCCACTTCCTCTCTGGACACCTGGACCTGCCCAACCTGCCTTCCAAAGCAAACTTAGTGCAATGTCTTGTCCCTTTAACTAAGGTCCTTGAGCAGCCTCAAAAAGGACATGCCTCCAAATCAAACTACAAAACTCTTAAGATGCAGAGGTTGAATCACAGAATTTACTTCCAGCCTCTCATGAGTTGGTTCACTAAGACCTTCCTTCAAGTGTTTCAGAGCCTAGGAAGCAAATATCCAGGGGGGCTCTGGAATGCACATGGGGTGCCCCACTGAAAGGCCACAGGCTGCTGCTCATGACCATTTTGTTCCAGCAGCCTGGACAGCACTTGGTCTCCTTCTTTGCCCACAGCAGACTTGGCACCCCTAACCACACACACACACACACACACACACACACACACACACACATTCAAACACGCAGTTTTACTGCCAAAGCCAGCAGTGCATCAGGATTTGGGAGAGTACTAGACAGCTTGACTCCCCAGTAAACCTCTAAACCCTCATACTTGACATTTCCTTGCTCACTTTCACTCACTGTCATCTTCATTGTTCCCCCCAGTTTCACCGCAAATGTGAATTATCCATGTTGTGTGACGGTGGGGAGCTCAGAGACCACATCTTGCTGCCCACCTCGATATGCCCAGTCACCCGGGTAAGTGCTGCTGCCCACCAGGGCTCTTCCCGCCCCCCCCACCCCCACCCCCGTGCACATTTCAGACATAGGCAGCATTCAGACAGTCACATCACTCAGAGGGCTTCCTCAACAATTCTTAGGGTTTGTGTTTACAGCGCAAGTTTAAATGAGATTGTGAGAGGAAACTCCCCTGACTAAAATGGTTCCAACTGCTGGCCACCCAGAATGTTCTGAAATGGCTCATTAAGGAAAGCACATTAGTTCCAAGCACCTTATAGGCAGAGCACAGCTCAAGGAACCTCGGTTGCCACCTGTGCATGGCTAGGCCTCCCAGGCCTCCCTTGTCCCTGTCAACCTCTCTCCTATGTCCATACATGAACCTTCCTCTGCCTTAAGGATTTTCACGTGGGCATCTCAGCCCTATTTGGAAATGAACTCAGCAAAATTAAACTCCTTTTATCACTATCTGAAACTTTCTCTGTCTCTTGTGTTGAAGATCCTCTTTTGAACCCAGCCCCAAACACCTTAACTGTTCCCTTTCCATCTTAAAGATGTTGCCAAGTCCCATTGATTCCTCACATCTCGTCCTTGACTTGAGCAGCTGCTCCTTTCTCATTAAAAACTGAAGAAAAGACACCTCTTTGGAAAAACATTTGGCAGTATCGACCAAGTGGGAAATACAAAACTCTATGGCCCAATAAGTCCCCTCCTATGAATCTACCTGAGAAATATGAGCACTTATTCCACCAAAATACATGCACAAGAATGTTCGTAGCAACTTTATTCATAACAGTGAACAACTGGAAACAAACTAAATGACCACTGACGGGAGAATAAAGTTGAGGCACACTCATATCGTGGAATACTGCATTGCAATGGAAAAAAAACTATGCATAGATGCAAAACCATAGATAATCTCAAAGATATAATGCCAAACAAAAAAAGCTAAACTCAAAAAAAGACATGTTCTATGATTCATCTATATGAAATTCAAAAGCCAGGCAAAACCAGTATAACAGGAATCCCAACAGAGTTACGCCTGAAGACGCAGTAGTTACAAGGGCATGTACATATGCAGAAATTCAGCAAGCTGTAGATCTAGAGTTGAGCATTTTACTATATGTGAAATAAACCTCCAAAAAATAAATCAAACTTTAAAAAAAAAAAAGAGGACGTACAAAACTAAGAAAAATAGCTTGCTCGATATCACATCATTTAGATAGTGCTGAGCCGAGAAGCCAGATCTAAGAAAGACCTTGCTTCTCGGAACTCAAGCTTCTAAATTAACCAAGTCGATTACTGCCAGTTTCCATGTTTCCTCTCTTCATGTCCCTTCCAATGTCTTGAAGTTAAAGTCAGAGCAAATGGTGACAGAGACCTGGAGAGCCCTAGAGAAACCTATAAGGAAGCATTTCTTTTTTTTTTTCAGGTCCAAAGCCCCACTTTGAAAAAGTCCTCCCCACACTATACTGGTTTTCTATTCTCTTTCTTTATATTAACTGTTCGTTTTTTCTCTTGATCTCTTTTTTTTACATTAGGCATTCTTTTCAAAAGATGCTTGTCTTTCCTCTCTCCTCACAGGACAGGCAAGGTGGGAAGTCTGATGGCAGCGTGTCAGCCAAGGGCGAACTCGCAATGCAGGTACCTCAGCAAGCCCAAGTCTGATTGCTCATTCTAAGCTGGTCCAAGGCTGTGGAGAGGAGGGCAGGGTTTGGGCTCTAGAGAAATATATCTCAATATTTGCTGCTTTCTCATCTGATCAATTACATCCCACACGACGCTTTATTTCCAGCCTTTGGAATTACCTTTGACCACCACACTGTAGGCAGGTGGTGAGAAGGGAGGTTGATTGAACCCATTGCTGGCCAGATTGGCTTTATCACCTCTTTAGGAACAAATTGCATGAAACTACAATATACACAATATTATTACAATAAGTAATAACAAGAGTGTGGCCTAAAAATACACAGTGGATTTTCCAAGACTGCCGAACTATTTTCAGAATGTGATCAGCCAAAACAAAGCTAACACACCCAAAAGTTCTTCTTCACCCTTAAATGTAGATGTAGGAACTCCTTTTTTCACTTGGCTTCAACAACGAACATCTTCTTTTTGTGCCTTCCACAAAGTTCCAGGGAATGCAGGAAAGGCAGCCTCGTGAGGTGCAAAGAGTACTAGAAACGAAAATAGAAAACTAAGTCCTCCTCTTCTGCCTCTGAGCCTTACATTTCCTTGTTTGAAAAGGAGCATAGCAATTCCTGCACTGCCCGCCTCCCAGAGATGCTCTACGATTAAATAAGAATATGCAGATTAGTGTTTTGAAAATTAATACATAAGAAATAATGATGGGGGAACCTTAATAATGTGGGGAAGCTCTAGACACCTAGAAGGGCAGAAAGTCAAGTAAAGCGCGCGTGCGCGCGCGCGCGCGCGCGCGCGCACACACACACACACACACACACACACACACACACACACACACTACAGGTATACCAGTTGTTTAGCTGGCATCCATCTGGTTATCCTGCACCTGTTCTGATTGGTTGGTGCCTATGCTCCAGGTTGTTAAATATTTTGAATATCACCGTCAGAGGTAAAAAAACAAACAAACAAACAAAATTGCTCCCCAGGGTCCAAGATGCTTCTGAGTGTCACACAGATAGCCACCGCAGGCAGATGAGAACATTCTTAAAAATCATGAAGAATGCTGCTGTCTGTTTCAGACAGCATGGCTCTGTGTTTGCTAAGTTTTCCGCTTCAGATCTGGAAACATGGGCATTAGATATTGACTATGGAGCAGAGCTGCCTCTCGCTATCCGTGTGTCCTTTAGCTAAACTCACAAGTATTTACTGAGTCCCCATTCCTGTATGTGGTGCTTTGAGATCCTTGGTAGAAAAGTTACACACACGCCCTGCTTTTGAGGCATTTAAAATCCAGTTGATGTTTTGAGACATTTACCTAAGAAAATAAAAAACAAATACAAATGCACAACAACAAAACAAGCCCAGAAGATATTACATGTTTCAAGTATAATCGTTTCAGTTGCAGTAATCAAGGAAATCTTCATAGAGGAAGGAAGTAGCTCTTGAACTGGGTTCTGAGGCTGAGAAATTCTTTAAAGGTTGCAAAGAAGGAAGTGGGCATTTCAGGGCATTGAGCAGGAGAAGAAAGCAGTGTGAACAAACCACATGGTGGGAATACAGGAAACACGCTCGCTAGAGGGTAGGAGCCGGGCTTGGCTGGAGCTGCAGTGAGGGTTAGAGTAATTAAGAGTTATATAACAGTTGCGTGGGGCCACACTGAAATACCTTGGATGCCAGGGTAGGAGATTTGGATTTTATCCTTTGGACAATGAGGTATCAATAAAGGTTTCTGAGCAAGAGTGGCATGACTAATACGATGTCTTGGGAAGGAACTACATGCGGGCAGTGTACAGGACTCACCTGAGCTGGGGAAGGCCTGAGCAGTGTGGTTACTGTGGCAGCTGCCAGAGAAAAGGGGCTATTCCAAGGAAATAATTGGTACCAAGGACAGGGTCTCCCCCAGATAACTGGATGAATAATAATTGTACTTTTAACTGAAACAGGGAACCAGGAGAGAGGACAGGTTTGGGGTACATTGAGGCTGGGAACAGCCTGACATCTGGTTGAAGGTACCCACCGGACTGAGAAATATGGCTCAGGAGGAAAATAGATGCCAGAGTAGAAGTGATAGTTAACTTCATGAGTGTTATTTTATTTAGGTGTTTCACCAGATGGCCATACCTTCTAAAATCACATTCAGTCGTATCCCTCACAAAATCTGATCTCATGATGTAGGCACAACACCACACCATTGTTGAATGATTTGAAACTATGGTGCCACTGCCCCCTCTCTGACTTTGATTTCAAACCCTGTCACCAGTAACACCACTCAAAGGCCACTCAAGCTGAAGACATTTAGCTGGTTAGCCCCTCAAAAATTCAACCAGTGGACAAAGACCTACCTCCCCCGTGCCTAGAACTGCTTCCTATCCACCTTTTCCGGAAACTGTCTCAGCATTAACGCTCATCTCATTCCCCCTAGTGGCTAAAACAGAGCTAACTTCTTTTTCTTTTACCTTTTAAGTATAAGATCATCCCCACCCCGGGTACCCACCCCCTGTTGGTCTTGGTGAACCCCAAGAGTGGAGGGAGACAAGGAGAAAGGTATGTTCTCTTCTTTTTCAAAATGGAAAGGCTGGGACAGCCTCACTTGGGTCCCTTCTTCCTCTCAACCACAACAGAGTGGACTGTGGAGACAGGCAGACCTGGGTTCAAATCCCAACCTACTGCTTACCACTTGATGACCTGTCAAGTGACTTAACGTCCCTGTGCCTTGGTTTCCTCCTCTATCAAATAGAGATAATAATAATTCCTTCTCTCATAGAGTTGTTGTGACGATTAAAATAGACCCAGTGCTTATCCTAGGACCTATCACATGAGTCGTTAGAGCAAGTTCTGAGATGCCTGTTTCCTTCCTAGCCTCTTAAGTCTTCTCTAGATTTAAGAGATGTGGTGGGACTCACCTGATTAGGACCTCCTGGCCTATCCAGACCCTGAGAAACAGGGCACCCACCTCATCAGTGAAGGAAATGCCCAGTCTGCTAGCAGCACTGAAAGTGGGAAGAGAGAGGGAGAATGGGCAAAGCAGCTCTGCCTCCCAGTCCTGTTCAGCTCTGGGGTAGTGAACAAGTGGCATGGTAGACTGGAATCCAGGCTAAAAAAAATATAATAAGCGGAGCTGAAGCCAGAACTATGAGAACTCCCACCCCAGTCCAAGGGGCAGAGCACCCCTTCTGAACTAACCTGATTAGTTACAAGCTGGAGCCCTGACATCAAGCCTAGATGGGGTCATTGCCCCCAGCTCTCTTCTGCCCCAGCCCACCTCCTGTGTTCGTCCTAATTCCAGAATTTGAGGGCCTTTCCATAAAGGGCCCCTTGATGCCTTCGTATAGTCCACAAAGAGCAGAATTATACTACCTGGAACACACGGAACATTTAAGAGAATGTCTCCATGAAGGAAAAGGCTTTAGGAGAATGGAAGTTCTGTTTTCTGGGTTTCTCTGCCCTGTCCTCTCTGTAAGGGGCTAGACTTCTGGGGTTGGGGGCTAGATAGTGGGAAGGCTTTGAACGAGGGGGGGAGGGCATGAGTGATGGCAGCTGGACCTGGGACTTCAGGGTCTGCAGGGCTTGCATTCAGTCTTCTCCCCTCTGGGGTTTAAAGGGAGCCTCATTGCCACCATCAACGGGCTCCAGAGGTGTTTGCCCTCTTGTGAATTCTCATGATGACATTCTCCTCTGTCTCTCTCGCTTTCTTTTTTTTTTTCCCCATAGAATCCTTCGGAAATTCCACTATCTGCTCAACCCCAAACAAGTTTTCAACCTGGACAATGGGGGGCCTACTCCAGGGTATGGAGATAAACAATCCTTACTTCTTATTTCTCCCCCTTCCCCTTTCATCTCTGAAGCAGATACCTTTTTTGTAATCTTTTTTTTTTTTTTTGTCTCTTTCATCTGTGGACTTGTCCCTCCTGACATTTTACTCATTTTCTCTCCCTATGTCCACTCTTACTTCCTCATGGAGATACTCAGGAATCCTTATATGTTTACCTCTGGGAAGTAGCCTCCTACACGTGCCATTCATTTGACTGGCATGGGCAGGCAGGCTGGTAAATTGTTTGAACTTATTTGCAAGGCTTTCTTAGCTAGTACCTTCATACTGAATCATCAGGGAGGGAGAGGAAAGAGTTTTCTTATCATTATCAGTTAGTAGGTCTGCTGCATTTTCTGTTGTGGGGGCACTTTAGGATCAAAACAATTCAATGAAATCACTTTCTTTCTGGATTATCTATGTTAGAGGTTGTTACGCTCCCTCCAGGCCCTTCTCCTCCTGTCATTTGCCTATTGGCTATTTCACTGTTCATTAGAGAGGGAGAGCAACCAGAGGAGACAAAGAGGCCCCTCTGCAGCTTGACTGAAGGTCTGGTGGGAGGAGCTGGCCCTGTGTTAACACTAACATGATAAGGTGCAGGTCCCTGTAATCAGAGACCCCTCCAGCATCGGGGCTGGAAGGCACCCAAAGACGGGCTTCCTACCAGACAGAGCCGGTACACTGGAGACGTGCGCTGGCCAGAGGCTGTCTCAGTGCCAGGTCCGCAGATCTGTGCACGCTGCGCTGGGCTTTTCAGCACACAGCTGCTTTGCCCAACCCCCTAACCCACTCTTCTACTCTGGATTCAGCAAGACCCTCAGAAGGGCTGGAGTAAGGATTCTAAAAAGGGAATCTGGCCTATGGCCATATCATCCTGAACGCTCCCGATCTCGTCTCATAAAAAGGGAATCTGTCCCTGTCTTTGGTTGTTTGACACAAAGCTATTATTTATGGCAGTGGTAGTGCAAGATCCACTTAAAAAGAAAAAGAAACTTGAGTGCAGGTTCAGCACCTCTGCCACGATTTACCTATAAAACTAATTTCAAAACACCTATACTCCTGCGGACACCACCATAGTCACCATGATGGCCAATCACTGCTCCATTATGACCTATGGCTGAGCAGAAGCCCACAGATACCTTTACCAGCCCATTCTCTTCTCAGGCATTTTCATACTGGAATGCAGTACTCTAGCTTAACCTCATCTATCCTAAATTGTTTTTGCCCTGGATGACAAGCCTGGTGGCAACTTCCAGGGCTTCTGCACCTTGAGTATCTCTGATGCATCAGTCTGTAATCAGACAGGCTGACTAGGTGAAGGGTTTCTCCATTCAGAATTCACTTTCTATTGGAGAGCAGGGAATGAAGGGGAAGACAGGGAACGTGAATTTGCCCACGCACGCGTCAGTGACTCAGAAAGCCCCAGGAGTCTTCTCAGACCACCAATCTGGGCAAAAAGGAAACGCTGAGTGAGCTTCCGCTTCCTAAGACCCACCCCAAGGAGTCCGCTGGTCGCATCTGTACTGAAGCAAAGGTTCTTAACTTTTCTGTGCCAGGAACCCATTCAGCGGTCTGATGAAGCCTGTGGACCCCTTCTCAGACTAATATTTCTTAATACATAAATTGAAATATATAAGATTACCAGAGAAAGTAATTATATTGAAAACAGTTATCAAAATGTTAAAAAATATATATATAATGTGGGAATATATGTGATTTACTAATACATTATATAGCAAGTTCCAGAGGCAGGTCTAATAACAATTATAAATTAAAAGCAGTGATAAGCATAAATGATAGTATGATGTATCTGCCACACCTGTAGTAAAACATTAAAATACCTGTGATTTCAACTGCTAATAAAATCACAAGTATTGTTAGTACCTCTGGGATTTGTTGCCTGCATTCATAATTGAAGGAAATGCTAAATTTCAGGTAGAACTTAGGGAAGATAAGAATGTAACAGTTTCTTCTCCAAGTTCATGGCCCTCTGGATTCTATCCACAGACCCTTTGGAGGTTCATGGACCCCAGGTTAAGAGCCCTGCTCTGAAGCGTTAAGGACCCTGAGGGGAAATGGTGCTCAGTTCACTTAGGTCTGGACCCATAGGAGAGCGGGGTGAAGATTCAGGTTGTTCAGTGCATCTGACTTGAGGGGCGGTTGTGAGAAGTGCAGGCAGGACAGCCGGAGAAAAATCGAAGTGTTAGGGGTTCGTTGTATTGTTGCCGAAATAAGCAAACTATGGATTCTTCTCCACAAATAATAGAGAATTTCTAGAAAACCATTTTCTTTGTTGAATGTTGACTCAGACTCTCCTTAGACAAGGATGGCCCCTGAGATTCATACTCAGTGGCGCTGCTTAGGAAGTTCTGGTTTCAGAACATTAAGTGACTTTCCACCCTAGAAGGAATCAAGGATGTAACATACTCCCAGGGAAGGGAGGGGGGGGGGCCCTCTGACCCAAGGAGTGTGTCAAAGGTCAACTACAACCTAGCAAATAAGACCATTTTGGCCTTTCTTCTACTTCCCAGGCTGAACTTTTTCCGTGATACTCCAGATTTCCGTGTCTTGGCCTGCGGAGGAGATGGGACAGTTGGCTGGATTTTGGATTGCATTGGTAAGAGTGGTCTGGGAGGGGCTTTGCCGTTTACTCGTAGTAAGTATATTTAAAGTCCAAGGAAACCAATGAAAAAGAAAGAGAAATGGAACCATGTCTTTTTCATCCTTGTTTCCACTCTTGGATCAATGCTTGACTATCTATGTTGGGTGGAAAAAAAGAAAGAAAACAGAAGAATTCCCACAGGTACAGGTGTAATGATTGGTTTCACGCCTTACCTCATATCTGTCATTGTCGGGGTTTGGGCTGTGACAGGACGGGACAGATGGGAGGTTGCGGGGAGGGGCAGGACTGAGACTCCAGGCAGATGCAGGGTGGTGGATAAAGGTCAGAGAACCACACGTAGATGCATAGCCCAGGGCCCATCACCTCGAGATGAGCATCTAGAGCCGGAGCCAGAAAGCACATCTAAAAATTGCAGATGAGAAGAAGACCATGTTGATCTCTGCCCAATACACCTAGATTAAAGGGGCAGTGGGGAGAGCCCAGGCTGGGAATCAGGGGGCCTGGGTTCTAGTCCAGCTTTGCCTGGATCTGTGGGTCCTTGGCCACATCACCCCCAGTAAAAGATGGAGACTGACTCTGAAATTCGGGGATGGGCGTATATTCAAGATCAAACCCTGGAGAATCCAGATAAACACTGGGATGCTGAACATAGGAACAAGAAAGGGAAGAGTTGGGGATAGCCGTCATCAAAGTCTGAGACTGGACTCAGAAGGATAAGCCGTGGGCTATTCTGTCTCCCCATTATTCATTCCACAAATACTGCCTGGGCACCTCCCGTGCCAAGCTCTCCTCAAGGCACTGGAGATGCAACAGTGAACAAACTGACAAAAGTCATGGAATGTCCCTTCTAGAGGGAAGAGACAGGCAATAAACAAAGAAATAAGTGAAGCATATAATATGCCAGAAGGTGATAAACATATAGCAGGGAAGGGGCAAAGGGAACTCAGCAGTGGGGTGAGGAGTACAGTCTAAATCCTAGTGGTCAGGGAAGACCTGGCAGAACAGATGACGTTTTCATGGGGACCTGGAGGGGAGTGAGCCATGCAACTAGCTGAGGGAAGAGCAGTTCAGGCAGAAGGAAAAGCAACTGTAAAGGCCCTGGGGTAGGAGCAGGCCAGGCTGCTGAAGGCTGCTGAAGGCTGCAGGGTATGCCAGAGCACAGCGCATGAGCGGAGAGTGGCAAGGGATGCAGCAGAAATAGTGCACAACCAAGTCTCCAGGACATTTAGGACGTTACACAGAACGTGGCTTTCGTACTGGGAAAGACCCAAGATACTGGATGGTTTTGAGCAAAGGAGAGACACAGCAGATTAGGAAAAATAGGGTAAAGCAGAGAGACCAGTTATTAGGCTCCAGCATTTATCCAAGGGAGAGGTGACCATGGCTTGGACCACAGCAGAAACAGCGGAGATGGTGAGAAGTGGTCAAACTCTGGACGGTTTTTTTTTTGTTGGTTGTTTTGTTTTAAGCTGAGTCATCCTGCCACCTGTTGGCAGCTCAGGGGCAGCTCAGCTCTGGCCGGGAATGGAACCGCTGTTGCTTAGAGCTCGCACTCTTGAGTGAGCTCTTAACCAACTGAGCTACTCGGCCAGCCTCTGGACGTCTTTTGAAGGTTGAGCCAACAGGATTTGCTGACAGACTGGTTATGGGAGTCGAAGGCAAGAGCAGAGTCAAGGACGGGCTGGGATAGACCCTGAATGGGGCAGGGAAGGCTGGGCCTCCAGGGGTCATAAGCAGACCACCTGGAGCCGGGGGACCAGTACCTGCACACCTGCCGCCTTCTGCTCTCCCACAAGCACTTTGGTTTCCATGGACACAGCCTTGCTAAGCAGCCACCCACGCTCTCCTGTCACCTGGGGCTCTGGAATTGTTTGTGGGAGGAGGGAGGCATTCTCTGGGAGCAGAGGAAGGAAAAGCTGATCAGCAAAGGGTGGATGGCTGCAGTATTAGGAGCCGCTCAGAAGGTTCCCTCTTCATCATGAAGGAGAAAGTCGGCTTTGGTAAAGTTTTATAGATTTCATCTGCAGAGGACACAGGTGATAGAAACTGCTCAAAACAGTAAGAAAGAAGGTCATGTGAAATTATCTCTTTCACAGCTTAGTGGCCCAAAGAGAAATAACAGTGGTAAAAGGAATGGCTGCACACTGGTCATTCATTCAGGAAATATGGAAGCGCTTATCCAGTGCTCTCCATCACCCCACTTTGGCCCCCTCTCTGATCTGTTCTCCTTCTGTAGCCAGAGTGGTCTTTCCTGAATGTCAATGGGTTCAAGGTGTGTTTAAAGCATATCAGTGGCTTCCCATTATTCTTACAATAAAGATAAAGATCTTAAGCTAACGATAAAAACCCTTCCAATGATCTACAGGGCCCTGGGAGCTGCGCCGTGTATTTCAGACTTTTATCCTCCCTCTAGACTCCAGGCACCTAGTCCCTCTCTCAGACCCTTGAATGTACGAGTCCCTTCCACCACAGGGCTTTTGCACAAGTTGTTCCTCCTGTCTGGTATGTTCCCCCAGCCTTTGCTTGGTCAGCTTCTACTTCAGACCTCGGCCAAATGTGGCTTCCTCAGGGGAGCTTTCACTGACATACCCCCCCACCCCTTGATCACCTCATTATAGGACCATGCTCCTTTCCTCTCCAGTATGAATTTGAAATTATGCTTCATTTATAGGAAGACCTCATTAATATCCATCTATCCCTTTCGACTACAGGGATGAGAGCCTGAGCTATTGCTTTTATACCTGCCGTTAAAACCACAGCACCTAGTACAGCATCTGGCACATAGTAGGCCTTCAGTAAACATGTATAGACATAGTGTAGTGGGTGAGATATACTTCCCCAGAGAAATTGCAGTGCATTCAGGGAGCCATCAAGTAGTGAATTATAAGACGGTGTGATGAGATCATCCCTGGTCCTAAAAAACACTCTATAGAGGCACCTGGTCCAGACTAGGGCAATTAAGGAGGGCCTCCCAGAGACAGCATCTGAGCTGAGCAACACAGATCTTGTGATTTAAGGCACTGAAAATACTTTGGTGTGACTCACATGTTGGGTGGGATGTAGGATGCGCGGAGGATGAGGCTAGAGAGGAAGGCAGAGCCTGGAAGGGACTAGTGTGTCATGCTAGGACGGGATGGGAGCCATGACAGTGTGAAAGCAGTGGGCTACTGTGATCAGGCTGTGGTTCAAGGATTGCCCATCTCGGTGGAACTGTGGAGAACACACAAAGGGGTGGAATTGGAGGCTGAGAGAGGTGGCAGTTACAATAATACCAGTGGGAAAGAATCATATCATACCTGAACTCAGGCGTCGCCATGGGAATGGAGAGAAGAGATTGCTTAGAGATCTATTAAGGAGAAATGACATTGAAATTCATGCATAAATGGATGTGGGGTGAGGGAGAGGGGGAGACTTAGGATGGCATACAACTTTCTAGCTGCCACACTGTGAGGATGGTTGACCTGCTGAGTTGAGGACTACAGAAGAAAGAGCAGACCTAAGGAAACAAGGACCTTCTGGTCAAGCAGAACAGAATGTGCAGAGTCAGGGAGGCAAACACACAGACTGTAGGTTCTGGGAACTGTGAGAGAATCCATTGCTTTGCTTCATCCTCCATTGCAACCCTCCCAGTGGTCATCTCAGCCCTGGGTCTTGCCTGAATTCATCTGCTTCTGGCACAAGTCAGACAAGCTGGGGGAGCTATGAACTCCCGTTTTGCTAGAGCAACCCTAGCATGAGCCTCATGCAGGATGCTGATTCCCCCACCAGCACAGCGCTCCAGAGTCACACCCCTCACTTTCCATGGGCAGCAGGGGAACTGAGGTATGTACATGGCGCCCTCTAGAGCCCCGTGGGTGCCTGTGCCTCCTTCAACTTTCCCAGTTAGCCAGCATGCTGCTATATAGATCTGCAGCCAGACTAAAACATACATGTTCTGCTGTGCTTCCTCTAATGGTTCCGTCTGATGCTCCTTCACAACCAGCATGGGAAGAAAGATTATAAATCTGTGCATCTGCAAGTCTGGGAGGTGGTGAAAGTGACAAACTGACATCTGGGTGCCAAACGACGCCTGGAGGTTTTCCCTGTTAGACACAATGTTATGTTTAAACTTTGGAACCTGAATGACTTTAATGGTGACACCTTCAGTTTCCAAATGCCCTACCACTCCATGATGTCTCAGACCCACCTGTCTTACTATCTAGGCACCTGCCTAGCCCCTCAAGAAAGGAGGAGCAAGGACTTGGAGCTGCAGAAGTCTAGGTTTGGATCCTGGCTCTGGAATTACTTTCCCTCTCTGAACCTGTTTCTTCATCTATGAGGAGAATGATAATACCCTGCAGGGTTGGTCTGAGGGGTAAATGTAATAAGTGCAGGTAACCAGTAAGGATTAAAACTGCTCAATTTAATGTTTTTGAAGTGTGTGCTGACACCTCAAAGGAAAGAATTAGGATGAAATTAGGATAAAGAAGTGCAAGTTACAGGGAGACAGATTTTGCTCAATATGAAAGAACTCTTTGTAGTGGTCAACACGCTGCAGATGGAAGAGATGGCTTGAGGAAGTGGTATGTTCCCCATCGTGGGAGGTATTCAAAGATCGCTATAGATCTTAGGGTTCAAGTGTCAGGTCAGAGATAAACTAGATAACTCAAACATCCTGTAACCACATGGCATATGGTTCTCTCTTCCTCTGCATGGGTTGCAGATAAGGCCAACTTTGCAAAGCATCCACCGGTGGCCGTCCTGCCTCTTGGAACAGGAAATGACTTGGCCCGCTGTCTCCACTGGGGAGGAGGTGAGTCTGCCTATGAGTGTCACTGGCCTGGGGACAAGCTTTCCAATTGACAGGGAGGCTCCGCAGAGCTGGGCTGAACTTCCCTTTCAGGGATCACATTCCACAGAGTAATGCTCAGTTCTGGGGTCATATCGACTCCATGATCGTTTCCCTGCCCTGAATGCCACACTGACGCCGATGCTTACCCCTCACTATGTTCACTGTCATCTTGAAGCAGTTGTCTTCCCGCCTGCCTTCCCCAGTAGAACAAGTCAATTTTAGGGTAGTCTCCTTTGTCTCCTCGTCAGTGCTCATCCCAATAGGGGCTCACTTAGATAGTCTCCTCACAAAATTCCCCCTTTCCAAATTACTGATCTGCTTCTGAATTAGGACTCAGAATGCAGACTGAAAAGCCACATCACCGGCTATTAGGAGCATCCAGATCATCATAGGTCCCCATGGCCCTGGGCCCTCATTTTAAAATTCCCCTAAGGAGGAGCTCAGAGTGGTAACCAGCTTACAGGTCAGTGGGCAGGAGCTAAGGAGAACTTTGCAAACTGCAGCAGCCCCGTGAAGCTGGGCGTGCTCCAGAGAGTGGAGGAGTTCAGGTCAGCATGGAGAGCTGACAGATCAGTCTGGCAGGCAGAAGTGGGGTGGGACTGCACATGGCTGCTCAATTCAGAGGAGCAAACAAGTATTCGATTATAAGACAATGTGATGAGATCATCCCTGGTCCTAAAGAAACACTCTAGAGAGGCACGTGGTCCAGACTAAGGCAATCAAGGAGGGCCTCCCAGAGACAGCATCTTAGCTGAGCAGCACAGAGCTCAGCAGGCCAGGCAGCAGTCAGTGTTCAGAGGTCGGTGTGTGCTAGGTGGACAGGGGCAGAGGAAGCAGCAGGCCGCCATAGAATGAAGTTTGCAGGCACGAGAAGAGCTACCAGGGTCCTCAGCCATACACTCAGACTAGGGAAGACCCCTCTGTTCAAAAGGGACAGGCAGAGTGTGGCCCCACACTCTGGGCATCTAGGCAGCATGGCTAGGCACAAATTACATGCCGGAATCCCAGCCTGTTCTCCTAGATAGCCTCAACGCCCTTAGCGACACAGTTGCTACCATTTCTATCCCGTGGGGCATCCCTGAAGGAGTTGTCCAAAGCCCTGACAACTGGAAAATACTCTTCAAGGTTGCCTGAAAGGTAAGCAGGAATGTGGAAGTGTTATTTGAAAGAAAAGACTGTCTCTACCATTACCTCTCATCACTTACAATTCACTTTCTATGTTAGTTTTCTATTGCTACATAAATTATCATAAGCATGGAGGCTTAAAACATCCATTTATTAGCTGGCAGTCCTGTAGATCAGAAGTCCTGGAACAGAGTGACTGGGTTCTCTGCTCACGTCCTCATAGGCTGAAATCGGAGCAGCAGACAGACTGTGCTCCCCAATGAAGGCTCTGAGGGAAGAATTTCCTTCTAAGTTCATTCAGGTTGCTGGCTGAATTCAGTACTTTGTGGTTGTAGGACTGCGGTCCCTGTTGCCTTGCTGGCTGTAAGCCGAGGTCACTCTCAGATGCTAAAGGCCTCCCTCATTCCTTGCCAGATGGATTCCCTCCATCTTCAAAGCTGGCAACAGAGAAGCGTCCTCACGTTGAATCCCTCTCAAGCTTCTAATCTATTTCTTAAGGAAAAGCCCAGTCTTTCTGAGGACTCCCCCGATTAGGTCAGCTCCACCCAGGATAATCTCCCTTTCTTAAAGTCAACTGTGCCGTATAATATACCTAATCGTGACAGTGACTATCCCATCTTATCACAGGTCCCAGGGGTTTTGAATGGTGTATACACAAGGGGTATCAGGAATCATGAGGACCATCTTAAAATTCTGTCTACCACACTGTCCATCTCCGATATGACGCGGTCTGGGAACAGGTCCTTTTTTCTTCCCATCGCCCAGCCCACCAATTCTCTAGGGCTTACTTTGCCCACACAGCCTGCCCACCTTTGGCTAGTGCCCACCCTACCCCTGCTACTCTCGCTTTCAAATCTCCCCAGCTTCTTCCTAATTACTTTGTATGGTGCTCTCCTCCTCTGTGGCTCAGGGAATCTTAAGTGTCTCTGGCCCACAGACACACTGGGGAGTCTCTTGGTCACAGATGCCCACAGGGTTCCCTGCACTGACAGATGCCTGTGCGCCAACAACTACTTAGCTTTCTGCTTTGGGACAAATGCAATTCGATGTTCCACAGGTTACGAAGGAGGCAGCCTGACAAAAATCCTGAAGGACATTGAGCAGAGCCCCTTGGTGATGCTGGACCGCTGGCACCTGGAAGTCATCCCCAGAGAGGAGGTGGAGAATGGGGACCAGGTTCCATACAGCATCATGAACAACTATTTCTCCATTGGCGTGGTGAGTTGGCCAGGGATTGCCTTTCTGAATGGAAGAGCAATGCCCAGGTGGGCAGAAAGGGTTCTAGTCCTCCATTGTCCCCTGTGGGTCCCTACTCTTTACCTCTCCCAGCTTCCTCAACCTTGACTTGGGCCCAAGCATCTTTGTATGTGGCCTGGGTGTGGCCACCCTGATGGCACCAAGCCCCCATCCTTGATTATAGAGGAAATTTCTTCCCCTATAATTTTAACGAACACAAGAAAAGACGGGATTTTTTCAAAAGGTATAGTCATCCTTTGGATAATTTGAAACAGCTAAAAACACCACCAAGAAATAACAAGGGGCGAGGTCAGGAGGAGACGCTCGTGTGAGCTTCCAGAGTTGGGAATTCTGATCCTCTGGGGAAGACGGCGTGGTCCCAAGGTGGCTTGGCTGGCTTCGCTCTCAGAATTTCTTCTCCCCTCTTTTCTCCCCCAGTCTCAACCCCATTCCCCATACTCCAAGTGCTCATAATGCTCTGGGGGCATCTCCCCTGACTGACCCCCCCAACTGAGCTCTGTGGTCTTGCGTGGTGCCCCCACAGCACTCTGTACCCCCGCCCTCCCCCCCCCGTAAGTGCACTGTCTGCATTAGATTGAAGAGACTGGTTTAATGTGCCTGTCTTGTCCTCCCCTGTCCTCCCCTCCCCCAACACACACACAAACCACACACACACACACACACACACACACACACACACACACACACACACACGGAGAATGCCACATTCCTCTTTTTTCCCCCCACCCCCAGCACATCTAGTGCAGCTTGGTTAGTTTGTTTTGCTGAACTCAGCTTCTAGTCCAAAAAGGATGGAGTGGACACTGCTTCCCAAACTACTAGAGACAGGATGGGGAGGAAAGGGATCAGTCATTTCCGTAATAGATCTGGAGTTTGGGAGGGAGACGTAACAAAGACACTAGCATTTCTTGAGCACCCACTGTACACAGACTTTATGTAGTCTAGTCCTCAACAGCAACCCTGCAGGCATCATTGTCCCCACCATCCTCATTTTATATGTGAGGCCTCGGGACGCTGGGTGAGTAGAGGGCAGAACTAGCACATGCACACTATGCCTCACTCTGAAGCCAGGCTCTTTTCTCTGTGTCCCTTGGGAATTATGCTGCCCAGTTTCATTTGAGTCCCTCCAGACCCAGACTGTGTGATGCCTGCACGCCTCAACCATCCCCACCTGTGCCTTTATTTGTTTATTTATTTTTTTGGTAATTGTGGTGGTTAAAAAACAAAGAGAGAGAGAAGAAAAAATGATAGGAATATTGAGGAAAGAGCAGGTTTAAGGAAAATGTTTTGGTTTTTAATAAGAAGGCTAAAAGGGGGAACCATGGAAGAAGAAAGGGTTAATGATAATAATACCTTATGTTTACAGGACTTAAAATTGACCATATTTACAGATATTTTCTGGAATCTTATGACTACACTGAAGGGCAGTATTATCTCCATTTTATCGGTGAGGAAACAGAAACCGATTAAGGGATCTGCCTTCATTTTCTAATCCAGTACTCTTTTTCTGTGACTAAAACAAGACAGACGCATGGCTGGACCCATGTTCAGGTTCTGAGAGCATGGAGGTATTGGACCAGGAGTAAATTCAGGGGTCCCTATGCCCTGATCTGGTTTATCTCCCCAAATCCCCTGACCTCAGTTGTGGGAGACACCTTTCCCCAAGCCTCTTCCAACTTCCCCTCCAGAGGCCCAAGCAGACCCCTCCCTCCTTTTCTTGGCTCAAAGACCCCTCTCCTTTTTGGACCACCTCCTCAGGCTCCACTTCCCCCAATGGGAACATGCATCTTCAGCTCCTGCAAGTTAGACATGAGCTTCCCATCATTACAGTTTCACAAAAACTCGCATCTTTTGCCTATGGTAACTAGAATATAACTTGCGAACATTGATTGCGTACCTACCGCATCCTAGGCACAGTTTCCCTATTGGTAGGGAAATCATCATTATCCTTTTGTGTTTTGTAAGAAGGAACCATAGCTTAGAAAGATACAGAGACAGGTCCAAGCTGAGGATTGGTGGAGCCGGGAGGCACTACTGTCGAGCTCCACAGCCCTCTGAGCTGTGAACCGTGAGCCCTGCAGCCTCTGCACAGCCGCCTCCATCGTCATGCCATCAAACACAGCAGCATTTGGGTGGACTGGAGGGGTTGTCTCAAAATTTAGTGTGAGATTGGCTCACTTATGCCCCTTGTCAGACTTGCAAGTTCCACCGCCATGACAGATCCTGATTTGTAATGTAATGTAGTTGGTCAGGGCAGGCTCTAGGCATTTGCATTTTTAACAGGCCCTTGAGATCGTTTTGATGCAGATGGTCTCTACCAAGTCTTCAGTGAGTGAAGACAACCCATTAGAGGAAAGAATGGTCAAAGGAAGTGGTTTCTTCACAGGAGTAGGAACCAGAACTAAAATAGATGAAGGAGAGGAAAGAGAGGCAAGAGAAACCATCACCTATAAGCAACCAGCCAGAAGTGAGAGCTGAGCAGCAGGACAGGGGTGACCTGCCTGGGAACTTCTAGAGGGCAGGTTGCAGTCATGGCTGCCTTCAGAGTTTTCAGACCCAAAATTTCTCTCATAACACATCCAGCTCTGGCTGCCAAAAACAACATAACTGCTAACACCCCCGTCCATCTCTACACAGTACGGTATGCAAAAAACAAAAACAAAAACAAAAAAAAAGCAGGGCCTGCCGAATGGTTTAGTTGGTTAAGACCCGCTCAAGAGTGTGAGCTTTGAGCAACAGCGGTTCAATTCCTGCCCCCACACCCCCAAAATAAAAAAATTAAAAAAGCACTCAGTGTTAGCTGACGAAATGGATAAACACAGTAAAAGGGAACAGACAACCTCCCCTCAACTAAGTAACCAAGCCTAAATCCAAGAGCCAAGACTGATCATGGTTTTAATTCATTCTTTCTAATAAGTGGGAAGGGAGGGAAGAAGACCAGCTAACTGTCCCCCAAGGAAATGCATATGAACAGATTCTCCAACACACTCAGTGGTCAAGATATTTATTTGCCCTGGGCTGACTTATAATAATCCAATATGTTCGTCTTTCAAATTATGAAGAACTTCACAGTATCTTTCCTTATGATTTTTTCATATATCTTTAACTTGTGCATGTTTAATATTTTATTGTGAAGCAGTGAGGAACCAGGGCCTTTTTTTTTGTTTTTTTTTATCTCCTTGGTGTGCCCTTAGCCTTCTCTCAATAAAATGTTTGCAGGGTTTGTGTGCTCGCTCTTTAAAAATTGGAAAGGGAAATTCTTGAGAAAACAAGTAGCCAACACATAACCCTAACAGAATATGGGGCTGACATTTGCAGAAGCTCTTGCTCCCTATTTGACTTCCCAAATTTTGTAAGAGGAGAAGTAGGTATGTAAACCTACCCAAGTTTTTACTTCCTTATGATGATTATAGTCAGATTCCTTTGGCAAAGAGAGCCTTGCAAAATCTTTGCCTCTTTTGAAAGACCTGGAATATCTATTGATATCAAATATCTGCTGCTTAGCATTTACAAAGGTGATGACAATGACCGCTGCTGTGGTGCCCCTAGGTGGTATAGAATTTGCCCTGACAGTTCACTGGCCCCCTTGTTAACTAACAACAGAACCTATTTAATAGATGGAGGGATAAACAAGGCAGACTCTCCTGGCCTAAGCAGAGAGGGACTATGGCCTCCGTCACCACAATCCCATCACCCACATACGTGCCAGCTCTCCCCAGGGAAGAGTTAACATAGTTGGCCTTGTTAGTCCCTCTAACTGATAACATCCATTGGCAGGAGATTTTAAACATAGTCATTCAGGATGCTACTTCCTCTGACTTCTCTGGCCTCCTCGTCTTTGCTTTTTATTTTTGGATTTGCAGAAAGGTCAGGATGGCCAGGTATCAGTGACAGGAAGTTTGGAACTGCGAAATAATTCCTGGGGTATATGTAACTCTGAACGCCTCAACGGCTCTGCTTTCACTGAGCCTTAACAGGATGAGTGAACAGTTAATCCCTTGATTCAATGAAATCTATTTCTGATGCTAGGGGAACCCAGGGGCCAAGGAGGGGCCTCAGCCATCACACTAACCCATGCACCATTTCCCACCTTAAAGACTGTACTTATCAGACTTCACCAGCCAAGTTTCCACAATGATACACCTCCTACCCTTTAGGGAACTTATACATTTTTAAAAACCATCATTTGCCCTGCAACTTTTGGATTCCCTCAGCCTCAGAATTTTCTGTCACCTGTGAGCGTGTGAAGGTACTAAAACAATGGGACTCGCTGAAAAGTGTCTTAGATAAGAGGTCTGTGCTCTTTTTTATGCCATAATTTTTCAGAACAATTCAAATTTCAAATTTCTAATAATCTGTCTTATTGTCTCCTCTCTTTTTATCTCTATAAGTTGCCAAAGTGACTTAGACCTGCATTGTCCAATATAGTAGCCGTTAGCCCCATGTAGCTATTGTGTACTTGAAATGGGGCTAGTCTAAATGGAGAGATGCTATAAATGTAAAATATACAATACATTTCAAAAATGTGGTATGAAGAAAATAATTAATATAGCTCTATAATTTTTATATCAATTACATGTTGTAAGGATAACATTTGTTAATTAAAATATATTATTAAAATTAATTTCCTCTCCTTTCACTTTTTTAATGTAGCTATTAGAAATTTTTTTATTTCTGCTGGACATCACTGGCCTAGACATCCCAATATCTCAGCATCCAAATGACTGCTGCTTGTATTTGGAAGGGGCACAAGCATATTTCATCCAACCGTGTGCTTATAATTTTAGTTCAGGAAAGAGTAGCTGCGTGGCCACAGTGCTGTCATCTCCTCTTCACCTCACAGCTCAAAGAAAAGACCCCAAAGAGTGAGGCCGTTAGAAATGCCATCAGCACTTCCACAGGTTTGCAATTCCCATCTGCGCTCCACTCCCTTCAGGACAGAAGTCTAATTTTGCTGTAGTTACTACCAAGAAAGGGTTTCAACCGTTGTAGCACTCGTTTCCAACATTTAAATGAAATCATTACTGAGTGTAAGTACACCCAGCTCAGTGGATGACACAGAGCAGCTCAACAGAGAGTGAAGGTGAACAGTAATTCTCTTTTCAGTCCCCAAGTAGGGAAATATGGTCCACGTCTTGACCAGCCTTTTCAAGACTGAACAGCAAAGCAACTGCTAGATTCCCCTTTGCTACTTTGTGCATTTACCAAGGAATTACATTGTCAAGTTAGGAACCATATGCATAACTAATAAGACTGTAAAAGCTGGTCTTTGGGAAAAGAAATCTTGCAAAACCTAGTTATGAAAAACCAAGGATAATTGGAACTACACAGAAGAAGGGGGCCTGTGTACATATCCCAGAGAATAAAAAAGCCAGGAGCCAGGCACAGCAGCACTGGGGGCTGGAGGAGCGGGGTAATGAAGTACAAATGGTGCCAGGAAGCACGTGATTGCTTTTTACTTTTCCTTTGTTTCTTTTTTTATTTTTTTCCCCAACAGAAGAAAATTATTGCTTCAAAGGATCACAAGTAGATGGAATGTTTTCTTGAATTCTAGAGAAGCACTTGACAGATGTCATATGAATGTTATTCAGAGAGTTCGCTGAGATTTTGCTCAGGGAGAGAGAGGTGGGCGGAGTCTGGCAGCGTGAAGGACGGCTGCCGGGAGGAGCTCTGCAGGCTGTATGGGCCCAGGAGACAGAGAGGCGCGGGGGTGGGGGGCCGCTGCACACCCTCCCACCACCGCCACCACCGTGTGTCCACAGGGGTGCCTAACCAAGACCTTCAACTCTTGATGTGTCTTAAACTAAATCAATAGCTAGAGTTTAAATGTTAAATTCCCAAGACGTGATTTCAGCAAGCAGTGTTTGCCAACCACAAAATAAAGCCCCATCCTTGACTTGCCCTTTCTACTTTTAAATAGTGGGCTGCTGACCGGGTTTACTCCTCTGCCCAGTGCAACGATTTATTACAACACCTTCTCTGCTCCTTAACTTGCTTCTGGAGTTTCTGTCCCCACCATTAGCCTGTACTTTATTCACAACACATAATAGCACATGCTCAAAAATTGCTTCTTCACTGCACTATATATATACCTACTGACATTAAAAATAAATAAATAAAAATCAAAAAAAATTTTTGTAGAGTTTCCATATCAAGAAAAGAAATTAATATGCACTAGCTGAAAATTCACTGACTGGAATTTCAGTTCTCTTTTAGCCACATATTCCATTAAATGAGTTCCTGTATTTTCTCCCCTGCACAAATATGAATCAGCTCTCTGTTTCTGTCACTCCTCCCACCCCAACCCAATTAGCCTGTTTATTTCTGAAGTCCACCACCTGCCCCAAAAGTGCTGGCATGATGCCTGAGAGGTAAGGGGCAGTATGTATTCTGCTGGAAAATCAGACCATTAACAAGGGTGGGAGACCAAGCTTGAGGAGGAAAGGTGAGTTCAGTTTTAGGTCTGAAGCTCAGGGTTGGTTCTAGAGATATATATTGGGGAGACACAGCATCTAACAACTATGAGAACCCAAGATGGCCCATGACATGGAGTGTGGGCTGCAGATTGGACTCTGGGCTAAGAAGTTCTGGTCCAAGAATGGAGAGCCCAGAAGCATGGTGTCATGGGAGCTATCTTCACTGGGAGTTCTGAGGAGCAGGTAGCCAAGAGTGAGGCAAAGAGGTGTGCTAATAGGAAGGGCAGCAAAGTGTCCGTAGAATGTGGTAATGAGACTCTTATTGACCTTGGGGAGCGTCATTTCTGTAGAGCCATCAAGAAGCAGAAGCCAGAATATATTTTTTTATTGTCTACTAAGCATGTTACCCAAAGCTACTAATTATTTCTACTGTTATGGATGATTAAGAGTTAATATATAACAGCATTTACCAACGCCAGTTTTCTGGTTTTCATAATGTACTATAGTTATGTAAGAAGCTATCACTGGGGAAAGCTGGGTGAAAGGGACACAGAAACTAACTGTACTATTTTTGCAATTTCTTGTGAGACTTAAATATTCCAAAATAAGTATTTTTTTTTTTACTAGTGAATGTGGCAAGGCATTTCCAAAGGCTCACATTCACCAGACCCCCCCCCACACACACACACACACACAGGGGCTTCTGCGTTCTCACTCCTCATAGACGCACACACCCTCTCTATCCTCAAAGGTCAGCGGCTGTCCACTTCACTCACCCTGAACTATGGCTGGGTAGAGAGTGAATACTGCAAGGAGTCAACTGGCATAGGCTCTAGAAGCATAGATGGCACTAGCCCCTGACCTTGGACCTGGTGTTCTCCCCTGTGACGTGGGCTCTCTGGGTTTGGGGGATTTCAGTGCGAGTCATGACCACTAACTAGGGATCTGCTTTCTGTCCCTTTCTCTTTCAGGATGCTTCCATTGCACACAGATTCCACGTGATGAGAGAGAAACATCCTGAAAAATTCAACAGCAGGTAAGAGGGTCATGCGGCTGCAGCCTGGCTGCGCTGCCCGTGCCCCACCCCCGCCGCCGGCCAGTCCAAGGCCCCCACCTGCTCTCACCGGAATGCTTTGGCCCCACCGCCCAGGGACTTCGCTTTCCTGCCACGTTGCCGGAAGGAGGGCTTCCATTTCCCAGAAGAAAACAATGTCAGAAACCTGCCGCAGTCTGGCTTCTTGTCCCCTCCCAGGGCTTGATGTGCAGAGGAAAGAACGGGGGTGGGGGGGGAGCAGTAAGGGAGTGATGCGCCCGCTGTCTGTCTGCTCTTGGCTAACTGGAACCTCTCCTGGGGCTTGGCCGCTTTCTGAAAACGTACCGCTCCCTCAACCCCAGCCCCGGCGATTCCTCTGGGGAGGGGCACAGGCAGGATGACAGGGGCCTCAGTTTTTCTCGGTCTCAAAGGAGAGGGGGTATCAGCCCTGGGGCCAGAGCCCAGAGGGCCGAGTGGGCATCGCCTCTGCCTCCCCCGACAGCAGAGGGCAGCAGAGGGAGGCCTCTGCGGGGGCGGCGAAACCCTGAGCCCACCAGATGCCAGCCTCAGCCTGCGCACCTTGTGTGAAGTCTGGATGTAGGTACAAAAATGAAAGGAGAGAGAAAACCAGGTCATTTGCACATGAAACCAAACCCTTCTTGCTGGCGGGAGGGAATTTGCGAGAAGTGAGTTGTGACTGGCATATAGCTACCCCTGGGGTTAAATTACCTTTTTTTTTTTTCTTCTCGTTGGTTAATTTCCGTCCTTTCTCTTTCCTCTTTGTTGTACTATTTCAAGATGACGACTGTACCATTCCACTTCACCCTGGGGCGGGTGGGGAAGGACTCACACTGCGGGGTGATGGGCCTGACTTTAGCCCACAGGAGTCTCTTTAACGCAGAAGTCCAGGGTCATCTAATGACATTCTTTTAAAGCCCAACTCCTGAAAAGCTCCATCATTTTCATTCCTACTCCTTTCCGCTGACCCCACAGCCTGAGAGGTTAGCCAGGAAGAAGAAAGCCTTTTTAGGGATCACAAATTGAACATAATGAAGCTACTTTAGCTTCAAGAAAAGTGATCTGTGGGATATAGTAGCTAAATTAATCTTAGAGTGTGCATTCTGTCATAGTCCATCGCTCTCTCACACACAAATCATGCACACTCACAAAGCACTGTTAACATATACAGAGGGTGCCAAAAAATGTATACACATTTTAAGAAAGGAAAACTGTATTTAAATTATAATACCCAATATATACTGATAACAAAAGATGAATACAAGTCACATTTGAGTTCTGCGATTACAAGAGGTGCTCAAAGGTGGTTGCCATCAGTGTCCAGACACTTCTGATTACGGCGAGCTACGGCTTGAGCAATGTTGACCAAAGTGTCCACTTGTGCACATTTTTTTTGGCACTCCCGTATACTTCTAGCCCCTATTCCTCCTGTAGTCACAAACTTACAAATCAATTGATTTCTCTTCTCACAATCTTTTTCACTCTCATAGATACACAAAATCACTTTTTGTTGTTTTTTTTTTGGTTTTTTTTTTAAAGATTTTTATTGGGGAATTGCAGGGAGGGGAACAGCGCTGGGGAATTGGGGGAAGGGGAACAGACAAGTTGCTGTCGTTTTTGTTCTTCAATCTAGTTGTGGAGGTCGTTGCTTCACTGG